AAGAAAGGAAGCGTTTCCTAACTGTCTGCATTGAACTAATCTCTGATCGAAAGCAAAGGCAACCCGACACTGCTGGTACCCCAAATAAGTCTCGCTCCCAACATGTCGCCAAGTAACCAGACACTCGACAGCCAGAAAAACCCTCTCAAGGAAACCAAAATGTGAACAAAATAAACAAAAACTTTCCTCTTTCAAAGTGCCTCCACATACGTGCCATTTGCAGCATGTGAGGGGAAAAATCAGGCTCGACAGGCAAGCAAAAACAGGGAATAAAGCCCGAGGCGCCGAAATCTGCAGGATATCAGATTCTGCTTTTGTTTCTTCTCCTTTTCCAAAGCTAGGCTTACATGTCTTGCAAGTATAGACTTTGGGGTTCTCCACAAAATTGACACGACAACAAACAAATGGATACTCATTAAAATACGAGCGTCGGTAACATGAGATTTTTAAAGTTCGTTCCTCAGTTAATCGAGAAACGAAACTACAGTCTCTGATTTTGAAGCAGTAACACAAATTTAATTAAAATTGTTTGCCGATTTTTTTATTTTTAAGATGAAGGAACTGAACCATGCTACTGAAAAAAATGAACTTCGCGACGAGGAAATTTAAATAAAAATTTGAATCGTGGGATACGGACGTAGTTTTCTTTAAATCATTACTTTACAACTTTTTTTCCAAATAAATCGGAACAAATATTGCTTCATCGCGGCTTAGCGGCTTCAGAAAAAAATCGTGAGACACTTTTTTTTTAATCAGGAATTCCAGCACATCTATTTTTCACGGGATACTGAAAGCTGCTTCCAACTGATTGTAATTTATTCCCAGAAACTTAGCTACATGTTCGCCTCGTCTGCAAATAAAGGGTAAATTTCAGGAAAACCCCTTCTTTGGTTCAGTCTGCGGGTGTCGCAACGGACGTATGAATACACATCCACGACACCATGGAGTGCGACAGTCGACGACGACGGACGCGGGGGTCGCATTCGTACCCCTGGGGGCTTATGATGGATTACTAGCACCAGATGAGATCTGCTGCCGGTTTCCATTCCCCCCATAGGAGAGACACATGGGGGCCATGGAATTGTGGGAAACCAGAGTTTGTGCATGGTAAAAACGCGTGCGACATCTATCATCCAACCGCCGCAGCTGTCGGGTAAAGCGTTTAATTTTATACCAGAAGCATAAATGAGTTTAATTTTTTTTTTACTCATTGTCATTAATTACTTGAGAAACAGAGCTGTGTTTTTCAAAAATGAATATAAAGACAGGGAGCACCTGATGAAGGGGCATAGGGACAGTATTGTCCATCATTATTTTTTAGAAGTCCAGGTGTCATGGCACGAGTGAGTCACCTGAAGAAATATTTTGAATTTTCAGTTAGTTCTTTGGAGAAAAATAACTACAATAAATTAAAGCAGCTACATTATGGCAGACAATATAAAACAATAATAATTGAAGAGGAATTGAATTCAGGTTCCATTTAGGTATATATTGGATATGTTTTTTAATCTTGAAATATTGCAAAATTCCCTTTCTAATGTACTTACCAGCTCAACTATTGAAGTCTGGAAGATTCCTGCATTGGTTTACAATAAAACAGTAATCCAACTTGCAAATTATTTTAGTGAAAAATCTTGAAATGATGTATATTGAAAGTTATTCTTGAAACACTTTGTGGCAGGTATTCAAAAACTTACTGCTTTTTTCAAAAAAAGGAACCAATGAAGCAATTATAGCGGAATGCCTTTGAAAATTTGGAAAGGTGGGCTTGAGGTGAGGTTTCACAGAATGAAAAATAAATTTAATTCTTCTTAGCTAGTGAACATTCGTCTGAAGTATTATGAGGAGAAAATGCAACTTGTTTTTATTATCAGGTGATTTCAGCAGCCATTTTCATTCCAAAATTCCAGATAAAGATAATAGACTTCATAGCTGCTTTCAATAAATTTTTTATGATGAAGAAAATGTCCCATGGATGGACTGGCAAAAAACTTTTGCTAACTAGCGCTGATCATTGGACCACTGACTGGGGAACACTGCTGTATACTATATTGTATGTTTCACTCCATCACAAGAGCATCATAATTAAACAGAACTGCCAAAAGGGAATGACTAGTATTCTCATAAGTGTTCTGTGACACATCACTCACTACAATAACAGACCAAACAAGTGTCAAAAATGTCATTTCTGAGTTAAAAATCCGCCGTAATTAAGCCTTGGCTCTTCTGCTGAAAGCAGATCATCTGCTTTCAGTTTAAGGAATTTTCAGCGATTTTCTCAGTTTTTTTTTTTCGAAATTGGGCTGCATACGGAGCGTTTTCTTTTTCAATATTGCGGAAGAAAGTCCTTTTACGGAGGAACATTTATGCACGTGATTAACTTTCATCATCACATCAATCACTGGCACATCTGCCACAGAGCCTAATTCCCTTCCGGTGTCGTGGGAAAAAAGCAATAAGGAACTTCTCGTAACAGGATAATCCGCTGGCACCGTATAGTCAGACTTCGCATGACTGAACGTCGGAAATTCTCCGGATAATTGATAATTTCTCCTGGGATTGACGCAAACGTGGATAAATATTCGAAAACAAATTGAACAATCCTGGGAAGTTTCCACGGCTCGGGTATTAATATGCATTGCAGAATATATATAAATCTCCGCTTATTATTTCGCCCGAAAAAGCCAGGTGTCCCACAAATTCGAAAGTTACTTTCGGGACGGCGAAATTGTTTCCTTGCCAGCAGACCAGCAAGTTTGGCGCAATGACGGATGACGGTCATTATTTCCCATTCGGAACTTGTATGCAAAAACTCAACGGTTTTCCTCTGTTTTCTCAGTTATGATTGTTTGCGACGCATTTCTTTCTTCTTTTCGAACGATTTCCGCAATTGTTTCTTCATCCGAGCCGAGGTGTCATTGGTGACCCCGGGAATGAACCTTGGATCGGTTTTTGTCGTGCAACTTGATATTCCCGTTTTGAAACCGGAGGGAGAAGAAACTTTTACTTCTCGCGTTCTTTCAATTAACATTTCACTGAACGGTCAAACGGTTGCCCCTTTCAACTGACACCGGAAGAAAAAGAAAACAGGCAATTTGGCATTAAAATATCTTCATTGAATTTTGAATACTTCATGAGCAGGTTCCAGTCGAAGTAAAAATAAAAATTTTGCCAAGCTGAAGAGATTAATTCTGCATAAGTTTTCCACATCAATAACAAGCTCAGATAAAATGGTTAAAACTCTAGAACTATTCTTAAATAAACCTTATGTCTACAATTTACACTTGGCTTCGATAGTAAGAATGTTTGAGGACTAAAAACTCAAGCTTTTTGAAAAGAAACTTGTGGAGTTTACACAAGACGACAAAAATTACGAAAGATAAGAGGGAATGTTTTTTTTTTTAGCTCTTATTGCTTCAAATGTTCAAATAAATTAGCTTTCGCTAAAAACTTCGAAATTTGGTTTCGAAACACAGCAAAACAAAGTCTAATTTGAATGATCTTGTGTTGAGAACTGATCAGTATATCATTTAATTAGATACTAATTAATGTTACAGAGTGCCAGGAAACACGACAACGTCAATTGCTTCACTTCCTGCTTCCTTCTTTAAATGACTTCCTTTCCTTTAGATTTTCGGAATTCGGGAGAACTGAGAAAAAATAAGCAGCTATGCCTTATTTCACGTAAAAAAAATATACCCCTCAGATAAAAAATGTCATGCAAAATAAAATTGTTTGCGGCAGAATTCATACTCTCATTTTTAGTTGAATTTAATCTCAGTTTTAACGCGAGTGAATTTGAAACCAGTTCTTTAAAAGTTTATCTTTTTAAATTAGCCAAGAAATTAGCATCCATGTCCCAGACTCTGAGGAACGCTTTTCTTTCTTTTCAAACTTAATTTTTAGTATCCAAAAGCTATTATCCGTCAATAAAATGAGAAAAAACGCTACGATTAAAAAAAATAACTGCGCACTTTAAACGCACGAAGTTTGCAGCTACATGAAAATTGGTAAAAATCGACGAATCAATCAGAATTTCCCGACTACATTATTTCCAACACGAATTATTTTTCCTTTCTCTCGGCCAAATCCCGTCGATTTTTCTTCATGTGATGATATCTCGCGAATTGTTACACGAACATTAATCCAAGTCTAGGTCCAGCAGATTACTTGAATTTTTCAGGGTATATCCTGAATGCTTGCTTTTGGTATTTCCGGCATTCCAAATCGATTATCAGTGGCCAGGACTCATAATCAAGCATGCGAAGCAAGACTAAAGTCGATTAGCTTTGCTGTCAAGCTGCTGGAAGCCTCAGAGTCGACTTTTCCGATCTTTCCTCCACAATCCTGAGATAAGCTTTCATTTCCTACAACGTTTCAAGACAGCCTTCCATTCGGAAATTCGCAACATGTACCTTTTTTCTTGTTGCATTTTACATTTTTCTGCTGGAGAAACACGAGGTCTGTGATCTTCCCGCCTCCTGGCACGTCAACGGCATCAGAAAATACCGACATCAAAAAAAGGGGGAAATAGGATGTTCATCCCATCAGCGCAGTGTAAGAGACGAACGAATGGGGTTGGGATCAATCATTGATGGGAGGGCTGTTAGCAGGGCTTCGCGGAGTCCGAACCCGGGGTTGCAAAAGACGAGTACCGTACTTTTCGCCATTCCAGGCGAGAATAAAAGACCAAAGAGGGACAAACAGTAAGAAACAAGGAGATATGCAACTACATGCAGTGGTTCCCAAACTGTGTTTGGCACTTTCTGGGGTTCTACAAAGCTAGAGCATCAGCTCTAAAAATAAAATTAGAAAATAAAATGAAATAAATAGGAGCACAATCACAAAAATCGTCAGGCCCTCAGCTATTGGAGCGGGAAATAAATTAACAGACTTCCAATTGAAATGTATGATTCTATTGAGGACACAAACTCTTACAACTTTTCAATGAGATATTGATCTTCTTAATTTAATTCCTCGACCATGGGGTTTAAAGAACCTCACCTAACCTCTCGAAGGCTTCACCCAACGGGTTCTTACTTGGACAAAAATAAATCAAGGTAGTTCATTCACTCGGATACCACGCAGAACTCTGTTTCAAAAATTGACAAGAAAAAATCGAATGCATTTCATAGGTACTGGGCAAAACATGTTTTGGCACAACTACATTTCTGAACGGCAAGGTTAATGTTTTCAGAGGTAGCTCCTTTTTCAACTCAGCAGTCCCAATGAAAATAATTTATGGCAAATAAAATGCGATCAAAAAAGTTTCTTAATGCCTTTGTTCAAAACATTCTATAAGGTGGTACCTCACAATTTGACCACCCTGCAATTTGCCCATCCCGTAATTTGACGTTCAAATTTGCTGAGAGGTTGACTTGCAATTTGACCTTTGCAATGAAATTTGACCCACACACTGACAAAAACATCAAATACAATGTAGAACACGTTGAATTTGATGCTGTCTCACAATTCAGCTGCTTCACAATTGGACCCTAGTCCGGCAAAAAATGTGGGTCAATTTGCAAGGCAACACCTGTACTTCTACAGTTTCTTGATGTCAGGATTTTGGGACACCAGAAAAGTGGGGCAATAATTCAAAGGTAAATGTGTTTTTCACATTTTGTCTTCCTTCTTAAACATCAGTACCCAGGCGTTCAAGTGCCAGTTTAATTGTTCTTCATGAAAATCTAGTGGTACCTTGTGTAATACCCAGGATTTGATCAACCACTATCTTTTTTTAAAAATTCATTCTTGGTAAATATCATGTTTGTATAAATCAAAACATATTTTTTTATTACCTACTATTTTCTTATAGTAAGATGATAGAAAAAATCGCACCAAAAATGACTGTTCTACAGAATCTTTGCAGTGAAAGATGTTCGTATAGTACAAGGTTCCACTGTACCTACACCAAGGCATACTAGAAAACTTCATCTGACATTAGCCCTCAATATTCACTTCAGCACTCTCATCATCTCCAACCATATGATGCAATCAAGTCTAATTGACCAAAATATGAAATTGAATCTTCAGATGAACCTAAAAAATTGATTATATTCCCAAATAAGAAATTAAAAAAAAAAGGTTGGGAACCAGCAGCCCGGAGAGGAACCAGGATCAATTATGGAATCCATGGGGGGAAGGAATATAAGGAAAACTGTGCCGCTGGAAGACTCGTGCCGCATTTAGGCTAATGGAGGAAAATACGGCACACACGCGCGCCAGGAATTTCTTCCGGGGCCAGGTGAGAGGTGTTGTTGCCCCGCGGGGCCCGGGTTGCTTTTTCTCTCTGCCCAGCACCTCGCAACCATCCCGAAAGGTGATGACACCCGGGGTCAATTGAGATGAGCTGCGGGGGAGCATTGTTTGGATGCTGCGACGACGGGGCATAAAACAAACCTATCCCAACATCGACCTAAAGAGGCCGACCGAAAAAACAAAAACAAATCAGTAATTATTAAATTACTACTAAAGATGAAATAAAATGAAATATAAAGCGGGAGATGCAATCTGGGGGCCGGTTTTCATTTCCGAATATCCCACTGACCTCATCGATAATAAGTAAACCTTCCAGTTATTGGATCCCCCGGCTATCTTATAAATCACAGACACTATGTTGGGGCGAAAATTACAAACATTTTGCTTTCCTCATCAACCTCTGGTAATTAAAGAGTTCAATTACGTTGTTGGCGGGTTCAGGGTGCGACGATTTCCCGCCTATAACGGGTCTTTTTCAATTATTCACTAAATTAATTCAGGAATCAAGAGATCAAAAACGGAATAGTGTCTTTTGGAATTTGAGTTTCATGACATGGTTCAAATGCTTCCGATTATTTCACAACGACTAATTTATAAGCAAAGCTCGGAACCATATAAATAAACGATATTCTGCGTATATTTCTGCTTAAAATATTTTGAGAAATCTTGAAGGCATGACATCCCGTTTTAAAAAATATTGACGCATCTTATATGTTGTAATACTGAATATTCAAATGCGAGCCTGGCTTTGAGATTGCGAATGTTGCGCCAAAAAAAAAGTGATGCATTTTTTTCATTGCATATACGTATGCACTACTTCATCATTATTGATGTATGAATACAAATGCATTCGTTCACGCTTGCTGCCTGCTTCTGATCGTCAGTTTTGCATAAGAGATTTACATTTTGCGCATCAACAGACAAGTGTGCGCATTCGATTTAATGCGAAGATTCGGATGTAACCTCGGCTCATCGTAAATGTCAAACCGGAAGATTGCTCTTCACCTTCATCGAGATGCGCTGCTTCGAAAACAAAAACACATTAACCCACCAGAATAATAATGGACTCCTTCAGTCATAATGCAAAAAAATATACTCTTTCAAAAACGATAGTTATAATCATGAAAAGAAACCTCTCAAAAGTGCATTTTCACCCCGCCATCAAAAATTGGATCGAAAGCTGCAACAGTCGTCGATGAAATGAGTATTCTTCTGATTTACAATGTTTTTAGTTCATATTAATGTAGATATCGCGTAAAACTATATGATGTGCTGAAAAATGAAATTGCACCTCGAGAACGGATGTTCTTGCGACCAGGAGAGCAACTAAGTAGCTCTTATTCTGATAAATATGACCTTCTCTTAGAAATTTTGCTGATTTGATCATCAATTTTTAGAAAAACTTGCCAATTTAATCAAATTGAAAGAAGTGAGTCAAGTTCCTATAGGTCCCGTGCATCTCATATATGGCATTTAAATCCACTTTAAATAAATTAGAGAAAGCTTCAACCAGTCCGCAGAATAAAAAAAATAAAATAAACAAATGCTAAATTATAGCACAGTGATTCCGATGACCCCAGCATTTTCGCAGCCCACTTATTGATGCCAAGATCAAGAACATGAAAAAGCAGGACCTCTAAATGCGAAACTTCTTCTTTCCCTCAAAAAAGAAATGTTTTTCTCGGCAATTTTCACCAGCCAAGGAAGAACAAAGCTCCGAGTCAAGGACCTGGCAAATTATCTGGAGCTCAGGTAAAAGAATTTCCTTTCGGACACGGAATGAGAGGATGAGCAGAAACAGATCAAGCAACATCCGCCCCCAATTTCCGGCCAGTTCGTGAGCTATTCGACTTCACGGCCCCGGCATTTTGCCAGAACCCACCAATCGTCACACATCCTCCCCCAAAACACGGAAAAACGCTTGGTGCTGTTCCCACATGCGACCAACCACGGAAGAATCGACGGGAACGGTGCTAAATCATCGCATGCCTGGGAATTAAATACAGGGTCATCTACCCACTTAAATATAGGGGAAACAAAAATCGTCATTTCAGTTGGATGGAATCTCATTAACTTTTCTTAGAAACTCATCAGAAATGACTTCATTCAAATCTGCTAAAAAAAACAATGCAAGCATTTGCAAGTGTGTTCAGTTCACATAAACCCTATGATAGTAATAGTTAATATTTAATCTAATTCCTTCGTTCTCAGTTCAGGCCTTCTTTCATTTCTGTGCTCAGGGACACAAACTTTGAAAAATGTCTAACTTTGCCTCAGAAAGATTATATTTGACAAAAATCATGCATAATTTATGGTTTAAGATGACGTGCAGTAGTTCTTTTAATGAAAGATGTGGCATTTACTGTATTTAACCCTTGGCCGGTGAAGTTGGACTATTTTTGAAAAATTTTGTTACACCTCAGGGCAGAAAATAAAAAAGGACAACAGGGATTTGAGGACAAAGTTGGGGAAAAATCCAATGTTTTTTCTTTTTGCACAGAAAAATTTCATGGGAAAATGAAAAAAATGCTATGCTAAGCAATGGGCTTTTCTTGGATTAATCCCAACTTTGCCTCAGCCCACCTTGAAGGTCTATTCTGACCTTCAGAAAACTTAAAACGCCCCAGCAAACAAAAATAATCCGGTTTCGGCCGGCAATGGGAAAGAACCCTCCGCCGTCCAAGGGCTAATCAAGTACCACATGCACCCTTTAAAAAAAACAGGGGCAACAAATGAGGTGATATGCGCATCACAGTGAGGTATGCATTTTTCAGAAAATTTTTGTAAAATTAAAACTTTTAAACCTCTTGACAGTGTTTTTAAAGTGTTCATCTTTTATGATTTGTTGTCGTTTTTCTGTAAGAATGCTAAAAAAAATTTGGGATTTTTCACAACTTCTGGCTCTCTAATAATTTTTGCTCCCCCTTTTTTTTTAATCCTTGGGACACAAAATTTTGCAGACAAATCCTGGCACCGTCACCCAATAAGGGTTAAAGTATGAATTTTGGGAACAAAAAACTGAGGTGGTGTCTTATGTGTGGGGCACCCGATTTTTTCCTCAGAGTTTAAGCTTCAAAACTAAGGTACACATCTTGCTTGAAGGCACATAGTACTCCAGTAAATACAGCACATATGGTACCTCACAATTCAACCTCCAATTGGATGGGTCAATTTGCTGGGAGGTTGACTCGCAATTTGACTTTTTCCCCACAATTCAACCTGCTCTAGCCACCATTATTGTGTTTTTGGGCTGCTTTTACTCAATTTTATGCAATGTCTTGCAATCAGACCATTTCGCAATTTTACCTGATTCCAGGAATGGATTAGGGTCAAATTGCGTGGGTAGCACATGTACAGTTGAACTCTCTGTACAATGACCTTGTCTTGAACAATTTTCTCTATATAAAAAATTGTTGTGTAATCCCACATGGTTAACTCCACATGTTACAGGGATTCTCTAAAACAGAATCCTCGTCTCTACAGCGAATTTGCTTTTCTGTTTCTTTGAGGTTTGCCGTAGAGAAATTCCACCCGCTGTATATTCGGGTGGTCAGTCCCTCATGGAACCAATACCAAAAACAAAAATCTGGACACAGGGAAAAAATTGAGCCGTTGTTGGCCAGCGAATAGTACCCGGGTCGGCAGTATGGGATGTGAGTCTCGGGTCCGTGAACTCCACGGCCTCGTCATCACCGTGTTCTCTTGCTGGCAAATGCTCATCATCCTTCTTCTTCTTCATCTCAGTGAGGATAATCTCATCCTGCTAAAGCACACACTCAGGGGATCAAGAATCTTACCAATAACATCCGAAATGTTCCACAGGTCGTGCATCTCATCAAACTATAGCTCTTTTTCACCCCAGAAACATCCCGCCTTTGTTTCGTGTCTGGTCAATCTGAGTTTTTTTTTCAGTTGGAAGCAGCTCATTTTAGAAGGTATTAATCAGTCTCTTTAATTTTTAAAATTTAGAAAGGATTTTGTGATTTATACAATGCTCAGGTATCCAAGGAAAGAGGAGCAAATTTCGCGTTGGGAAAACTGAACCTTGAGAACGAACAGAAGATAAAAAATAAAATCGGAGAAGGAGGACGCGACAACGAATCAGGTTTACATTTGTGCTGTCAAATTTTTGGAAAAAATTGAAAATTAGAAAGACCACAGGCTCGAGTAAAATTCCCAAATTGATGACTAAGAAGTACGGATTGAAAACAAAGGATTCAAGATACATAATTCCCGAAGTAATTTTTTTTTTCAAGGAAAAAATGTTCTCAACGAGGCATTTGTACATGCTTCTTTGGATTCTTGAGCATTTTCAAACCCGAATTGTATTGATCTGAAAACAATTTATGGAATAATTACAGCAGCTTGAACGAATTCTTAACCCATGCGCGAAGAGGAAAATCGGAATCTGGTGAGAAATGTCAATAAAAGGGTTTAACAATAATGCCTCCTCCAAATAGATAAAAAAAATGGAGACTGATCATGCGAAACAAATTTAATTTCTACCTCTTTGAGAATCAGGAAAATGCATGAATTTTTTTTTATTTAAACCAACAGAGTCATCAAACGATTGAGAAAATATATCAATGGATGATGAGAAGAGAACCATTTGAAAATAGGACCAGTAAAAATATTTTTATTCCGTTTTTTCTTTGGCGAAATTATAGGCTTCCCATTTTAGTTGACTTTCATTTTGAGAATTAATTCAATGAAGTTTCCACAATTCATTCGTGGTATCGTGGATGTGAACTGGCTATTATGCAATAATGAATTTCAATGAAGATATTAATCAGCTGATTCCTTGTCTGGGAAAAATAATCAATGTTTAACATTTTATCCGTTCGTCATTCCGCAATTGCAGTATTTCCTCTCGATATCAGAGCGAAATTCGGAGATTTCAAGCATCATAAAATTTTCGCAAAAGTTTTTAAAATCAGTAACTCGTCGAAAACCGCTTGACCATCATTTTTCAGAAGAATAACATGTGAGGAAACTATTTTGCAGATCGCGTAACGAAAAAATTCGAAGCATGAACGTATGGAAAAGTGGAACCGGGTAAATAATCAGAACAATGGAGTCATTGATGCTGAAGCCCGTCGTAAGAAAATGCTCCAGTTTTTCTACCTCATGCACACAGTAAATAACCTGCCAACCACAACAGGCTACAAGATTTTGCGCAATCTGCGGAAATTGCACGCAGAAAGCCATTAGCGGCATCCGAACTTTTGACCCGACCGACGCATGAACGAAGCGTATTGACTTCCATCTACGGAAACGGAGAAAAACGTGATGAGGTGTCGGTACAAAAAGCCAGACCCTCCACAAAACACCCGTGAGTCATTTCCCCCTTTTTTGTTTACTCAATAACTGAAAAATGTTTACGCCAGTAATTATGGTACAGTATTTTTAAAAATTCGAAAAGGGAAGTTGCTGCAAGAAACCCACTTGTTTTCTTTTCGATAGAGCGAAAAATACCACCATAAGCAGGGTTCAATTTTCTCTGCCATATTTTGGCAACAGCCGAGTTGCACAGGCAACCTAAACTTCCGCGGAAGGAACTCCTTCAAGCGTGAAACTGGAAGATTTTCTGCGCGTGCAAAATGTAAATGCGTGGGAGGAAAAGGAACAACAAGAAGCGACAAGAGAGAGATCTTGTTGTTATAACCCTCGAGGTTACTAAAAAAAAAAGTAGACCATTTTACTGCGCAGAAATCTTCCCCCTGCTCGCAATGAAGGCATATTTTGGCACAGCAAAAACACCCGTTCCGACGGTTTATTATGATTGCACGTCTGTCTCAATTTGCGCTTGTTTTTCCGAGTCTCTCCTTCAAGCTGAGGGGGTTTTTGCACAAAAGATCAACATTGTTAGGACTTTTTGAAGCTTATATGAGGATGTATTCCGAAATTAAAACCAGCTAAAAATATTTCCTCTCCGCATCTGAGCTGAACCTCGAGTAAATTTTTACACAAACATTTTCTTACTGGCCTCGATTTATCTACAAAAATACTCAGGAGATTTTATTTTTTCTTTTGAAATTAAGATACTTGGCTATGCTTTAAAAATTACTGCAATACTCATTTCAGTGTTCTTTTCGAGATTAAAATTGTGCAGGTGATGGAGAACCGAGGTTCGGTTCAGCACCGGGCCCTTTGTGCGAACAAAAGATCGTTTAATTCCGTCCCTCCATGGGCTCGAATATATACTTTTTTTTACCTTTTAAAAAAAAAAAATTCTTCTCTCCGACAACAAAAAATGTAGTTTTGTATTATTTTTGTTGAGGTGTTGTTCGAGACAATAAGACACCGCTATCAACACCCGGTGTGTGGAGGAATTTCTTTACACAGTGCACAACACCGCGGCTTCAATAGAAGCTGTTAGCAACGCCTTTTTATCGCTGGGGGATCGAAAGATACCCGCTTTTTTTATTACCCTGTATATATAGTGAAATAAAAAAAGTTTTTCTTCAAAATCTCGGTGTAACATGGTCAACTACACTCTGAGCGAACGAGGAACAATTTTTAATTCCCCAGGATTTCATGCCACGTTTCTAAAGGCAATGTGCTGGCAGAAAAATTGCTGAAAAAGCAACAGCACACCAACTAATATTTAAATAAAATACTAAAATCATAGACTGACTTCTGCATGAGAAAATTTTTATTTTCTAACCATTTTGCAGAGAGTTGGGTTTTTTCGCAGAATTTTCACCAATTAGAAGGCTATATGAAATTTCCACGCATTCAATCTCAATTTTTGCAACGCCTCACCAAGAAAAAATTCTGACAGAGAAAAAATGCCAATGGAAACAATTTTGCATTGACAATTGACATTAAAAATATGCTTACAAGAGAAGCCTATTTTAAAATTAAATTTGAGGGATTTCTTAAAGAGAAATGCATGCTATTAAGAACTAAAGAGATGAATGAAAAATGCCACTATAATGGAAGATTTTAAAATTTTCATATACAGTACAGGTGTTGCCTTACAATTTGACCCCCTGCAATTTGATGGTTAAATTTTCAGGGAGGATGACTTGCAATTTGACCTCTGCCACAGAATTTGACCTGCTTTGGCCATTTTTTGCATTTTTGTGCTAATATTTCTCAAACTCATGAAGTGCCTTGCAATTAGACCAATTTTCAGTTGACCGTAGTCCAGCAATAAGGGTCAAATTGCAAGGTACAACCTGTACTCTTTAGTGCTTTTGATGCAAAACAAAAAGTTGAATATATGAATAAAGACAAATCTTACGATTCATTTAAGTTTAAAATTCTATGTGTACATAAATTTTAAAATAGAAAGTACCAAAGCTCTTGATTTGTGCATGATAAATTGAACATTGAAAGTGTATGTAATTTGCTGGATTTCTCTTTATTAAAATTTGATTTTTACAAGTTCATTTTTCATTTCCCCAGAAGTTCCACAATGAATGAATCAGCTTGTCCTCCAGCTAATCGAGTACAAAGATTAGTTGGTCCAGGCCTTCGAGCTCACAAAAACTTGCGACACTGCTAGTAAAAAATCAACAACACAGAAAAAAAAAAGCTTCAGGTGCCGAAAGCAAACCTTCTTTCCCTGAGATTTTTACAACCTTCCCTTTAGATTCCTCCGAAAGATGTGAGGCGTCTTGAGAGCTTTTTATTCATTTATTTATTTACCTATGGAAGGACGGAGAAGAATGAGGAAAAAGGGACGTGGGCAATATTTCCCTGAAGACGTATTGAGACGATGGGTCCTTTTAATTGCCCCTCGCGCCGCCACCATGAAGCGCCTTTGATGGCCTTGGTTCAAAGAAGATGCTGCAGATTGCCATCCAGGCTCCTTGATCCCAATCTTTATGAGCTGGAGCAATAATGAAAAGAAACTGGGGGGAAATGTCCCATTTTCGGGGCTTTCGACAAGGAGGAACCAGGAGCAATTCCGATTTCTCATCTTGCATGTTCCGCAAGGTATCTCCCCAGAGAGAGCGTAGCTTGATTTTGAAGTTGATAATGTACAGTATTTCCATAATCATGATATAAAATAAATGAGGACTGATTTTTAATCTGCATTATTTTAAAAGGAACTTGTGGTATTGGAATTCTTGGAAGCTGACAAAAATGGCCACAAGTCAAACTTTATGCATGAGTATCCCAATTTTGCTCCAGAAGAATTAAAAACAATATGTTTTATTTTACCGGGCTCTTCCACAACTTTCGTTTCTTCTGACCGGATTGTTTTTGAGTGACATTTTTTTCAAATCAAAAGGACTCCGTGAAAAAAATGGAAGCAATATTGGAGTAAAATGGAAATTTGAGTCAAGGAGGTTCAACTAAATAAAAGCTCAATTGTTCCTATATTGCACGTTACAAGTATTTTCAATTCTGGAAAATGCAACTTAAATAACAAATTATAAGTACCAAGCACCCTCAAGTAAAGCATGCACCCCCAATTTTCTGGGTGAAAATTGCCCAAAAAGTTATCCCTGTGTATGAGGCACACCCCAGTTTTTGCCAAGTAAAATGTATTTTTGAAAATAATTTTCTTTATTATTTGATCTTCCTCCAGTCTCAAATAAATGACACAGAAATATTAAACTTTTGACCTGCTGCACAGTTGCCTATTTTTCAGCCTCATAAATCACTTTCAACTTCTCACAAGCAGTGAAAGAACACAAACATAAATGCTTGCTTCTTTCTATGCCAAATCCTGGCAGTGAACTCATTTTTAGTGGTCTGGATGTTGTGAAATTTTATGCCCATCCTGTTTGGATCCATTTTTAACAATAAGTTTGTGTGCTTCCTCCTTTTTATTGCCCAATGGATCAGCCGTAGAATGTTCTGGCATTTAATGACAACTTCCCCTATTATACTGTATATGACAATTTGCCACATCCTTTACTTCCTGTTGCATCTCAGTTACAATATTTTCATTATTCCTGGAAAATTGTCCTGCTTGAAAGTAATACTGTATTCCTAAGTTGCTATCTGATCCATTCAACAATTATTCCCTCATAAACAATGAGACTTGGTGCCATGCATTTCCTCTTAAATGTTTTTAAGATGCTTGCATTCTGGAAAAAGATGCGCGTGGTACACAAGTAAATACGGTATTACATATATATTACAGAATATTAATACAGGTGGTACTTCACACTTTGACCCTAATCTGTTGCCAGACTAGGTTTGAATTGAAAATTGGTCAAATTATGAGACCAAAAATATTATATATATTTATATATATAATAAATATTATTATGAAATTTGAAAATACAGGTATAAGCTAAAAATGCAAAAAACTGGCCAAAGCAGGACAAATTGCGGGGCAAGGGTTGAAATTGCAAGTCAACCTCCCTGCAAATTTGACTGTCAAATTGCAGAATGGTCAAATTGGAAGGTACCACCTGTATTATGCAAATATCCTTTACAAATCAACAAAGGCCAGTCTCCGATTTTTGCTTATTGATCTCAGAATTATATGAATGAATCCTGAGTCAGAACCTCGGATGCCATTTCCACGGGCTGCACTCATTTCCTGGCAAACTTGGAACCCAATGAACCCTCAAAGGTCACAATTATTTAAATGTCTTCCCTTGCCATCCTGTTAATCCCGTATGCATACGGTACATCGATTTCAAATCCTCTGTTGAATTCAGGCCGTGCTAAATCTCTTGTCGACATAATCGCAGAAGATGCACAGATTGCTCGTTGAATTACGGCCTAGAAACTACATCATATACACTCATGCATCAGAAGCGCCTTTATTTGAAGAAATGGCGGGAACATGCATCAACATTTGGCATCCGAGACTGCACATCATTGCAAGAAGATTTAGGAGCTCTGGATGCATTTGATCCGATACGAAACATCGCTGAAAAATAAAAAATAAAACTCCGCTACTTATGCCTAAGGGGGCCTCAATTATTCCCACCTTCGAATGAAAACAAAAACAGACGAGTGTTAATGTCCCAAGAAAGTACCCACGCATTATATCGGTAACCCAACACTTGGTTATTTATTCTCCCCTGAAAAAAAAAAAAAAGATCCCTGAGGCAGAGTTAAAATGCCCCGATTTATTCCCGACACGAGGTCGCAAATGATTCAAGGTTGCGTTCATCAATTTTCATTCTTTTTACAAGGAAGACGAAAAAAAAAGAGAAAATCCCCTTTTGCCTTCCCTATTTCTGTCTTCTATTTCCATTCCGGGTTTTTAATTGCCCACTGACTGGGTTAATGCTGACGAATGTTTTGTTCTGACCGGAACTAAGCGGGAAAAATGAACCTGAGGTAATAAACGCGAAGGGTATTGATTACGCCTTGGAAACCTGGAGGCGAACTTTTGCTTGCTTCTCATAGATTGGAGGTCGCCTTTTCTTCAAAGTTATCTTTTCTGATTCGATGGGCCGTCATTAAAAATCAGCCTCATCAACAATTTATTTCTTGACTGCATATTTTCCGAAAATTGGGAAGCAAAAATGAAGCGAGAAAAATGTGTAACAACGCGTTCGGGTTTTTTCGGAATTAAAAACGGATCGGACGCAAAACTGATCTATAAAACATATCGTTCAGTTGACTAATCCATTAACTTATTCTTGATCATTATTCTCATTATGCATCGTATTTAAATCTAAAAAACGGATTCAGAGCTAAAAATGGAATTTTAGTAAATTTTTCAATTTCAGGGATTCAAGAAAAACCCCTGGAATGGAAAAAAAGGTCTCTCAGTTCCTTAAATATGCAAATACTGTAAAAATATATTTCTTTATAAATTTTGCTGATGAGATTCTCTGGATAATCACTGAATTTATATTGCAGTAATGTTCCACGAATTTGAAAACCCCTTTTTTTCTTCATCAAAGTCGAGTTTTCCATCCTTTTCGTTCAATCATAATATTATTTTACTTTTAACGATGTCTCTCATGATTATTTTTTTCTCTGCAACATTTTTGTCTTCTCACGACATTTCATCATTGAACATTTTCTTGATAAAAGCATTCTCTCGTGAAGATCTTTCGTAGACATCAGCATTTTTAGTTCATATCCTGTCCAAAAAAAAAAAAAGACAAAGAGGTTGTCGATTTCTCATCAAAACAGACTGATTTTTGCCACATTTTCTTTCACCTCAGTCGGCCAGCCGAAAAAAGATGCCTGGAAATATGCAAACACACTCGAAAAGCAGAAAAAAAGATTTTGCCACTGCGTCCGAAGTTTGCAAAATATTTGCTTCGATCGGTCCCACGATGAACTTTTTTTTTCTTCATCTCCGGACAAACAGAAAAATACAATAGAGAAGTCTCGGGTCTTATCTACTCCAGAATCCAAATCAGAGCCAATGAGCGTGTGTGCTAAATTTTGCAACAGTGACGGAAGTGAGACTTTTTTTCTAAGAATAAATTTGATAATTCATTCCGCGGTTTTGAACTCAGGTGAAATAATTGTCTGATGTGCGTGAGAAACAGGGGAGAAAAAAGGGAAGATTTCTCAACAAAGGAAGCGTTTGCGCAGGTCAGTGAAAAAACAATCTTTTCCCATATTTTCCTTTAAAAAAGGACCAACATTTAAAAACATTAATTCACTGATAATGTATAACCTAATAATCTGTGGGAAAAAATTCTTCTCCATGAGTATTTGAAATGAAGTCTTACACGAAAAGAGAAAAAACACGTGGAAGTTCAAGACGAGAACACCTCTTTCGAGACTGAAATTCATATGTGCAGCGTGAATTAAATTTTTAGCATATTTTGGCAATTTTTCTTCGAGAAAGTTTATTTTTTTAAATGACAGGAGAAACCTAAAATACATTTCTGGTCATTGAAACTTCGCTGGAGGTGATTTTTGTCTCGCTTGCCAATCTTTTGAGCAGTTTTGTTTTTGAAAATCATTTCAAATTTCCCTGGACCACCGTGTATATAACCCCAGGTTAGAAAAAAATAGCCTATTTGTTAAGAAGCTGAAAGAAATGAATGCAAGTCCCAACTGTTGTTCAAACAAGCAGATAAATAAGCAGGGAATGTCAGTGGACTGGAAATGCCAGACTCGCAACGAACAGACACCCAGGGTTTTGAAATGGGTTCTCTCTCATGAAAACGTGTCAGTCGAGTACCTCTTGTGTGTATCTGTTTTGCCAGCAGGAGAACAAAAAGTCGTGATTTCGCAATTGCACGGCTGTAAAAATACCCAGGCGTTATTGTTTTTTCTCCCCTTCACGAGGTTACGGGCCGGGTGCTGATGGGTTATTGCCTCGGGCCGCATTGGGTTCCAAGCGATGATGGCTCAATCAAATCTGTTCCCATGATCCGCTGCTACTTCATTTTCTTTTCCAGGCCACATTTCAATTCTTATTCTCTTTTTCGATCACGAGTAAATTTTTCCTTCTATACGAAGCTCCCAGAATAGATTGTCAGTCTTATAGTAATGAAGAGAGTATTTGATGCAAAATTTTTGAAGCATCGAACCATGTAATTGATCTGCACGAACTGATCGACACAGATTCCGCTCTGAAAAGATCCGGTCCAAGTGATACTCAATTTCTCACTATTTGATTGACAATTAAATGGTCTCGCTTCTTTTGACAGGCGATGATTTCTTTTTGACATTTTTTTTTCATTTGTGATCCGGTATTTTTCTTACGGAATCAACTCATGCGTTTCCTATGATACCCAAGCAGGAAACGAAGCATCACACAATTAAATAATAATAATGTGATTTTAGCAGTAGTGAAAATCAGTTATGCACATTCTTAATATGGGGACGTTATCAACATGAACATTTCGAAGAATTTGCAACCTTTGCTTTAACCGAGTTACAAAAACTCCATCATTACTTGACATCATGTGAAGCAATGGGCATTTTGGGAACGATTTGGAAGGAATTTCGACGAAATCATCGGAATCAGAATGAAGATTTTACCACATTGCAGATCTAATTTTTAAAATTCCCGAAAATAATTCCAAAGATAATAATGTGCTGTACATGATTTAAAAAAACTCATAGGTGTGTTCTGGGAGTTTTTAAAATACTGCCAATTCAACCAAGGAACAATTAATTTGTATATTCTTAAACACCGGAAAATATACCTTAGTGCAAATTTCGACTGTCAACCCTATTTCCTTGGAACCTGGGTACAATAAACAAGATAGCGGTTGAAAAAAATCATCGCTTAAAATTTAAGAATCCCTCTTTAAGCGCGTTTATTTCACGAAAACGTATTAGGAAGCCAAAGGTAAATTGTAAAAAAAAAATCGGACTGTCAAAACAATTCCCCTGAATCGCCTGTCCCAACAGACTAAAGCAACTCGGACATGATTTACGTCCAAATACTGCTTACCACATCAAGGTTGGTTTGCAATATCGATTTTGCTCACGTGTGCAATTCAAGTTTCATCAAGGCGTTGCCGCCTGCGGCAATCATTTATCGAAAACAAGATCACGAATTGATCGCCTTTCTCAGCTCGTCCTTGCCAAAGGGGATCCTTGTATATACTGGATATATGTTTAATTTTTTATTTCGCTTCGTGGGAGAGGTCATTCAAATTATTAAAGAATGTATATATCTGACCCAGGAAGCGTTTTCAACAAAGTGTCAATTAAAACCGAGCAAGCACAACACGCCACCCTTGAAAAAGAAACTGGCGTGAATAATTGCGCAACACTCTCGAAAAAAAAGTGCTTGGTCATCATCGTCGTCACTTTCGGGTGCTGTTAGCTAACTGAAACTTTTCTCCACTCCTCCTCCACACGCGTGATTCACCCCCACCTTTTCATTTACTTATATACTCACTTCATGGATACATTTTTCTATTCTTTTTTTCGAGTGAGGTTAGGAAAAAAAAGAGAAAATTATTAATGGATCGTACGCGTGTTTCCACAGTGATCTACATACTCCCCACGGGTTTTCTTTGCCGCCACAATGTCAGCTACTCTAAATTCATGAACCCGCTCCTGCGAATGCATATATTCCCTCTCTCCCCGTTTGCGCAACACGTGCCCAAGAGAAAAATGAATCACGGCTTGTTTGTTGTGGGTTAGAGCGGATAAAATACCAGTGGTTGGCACCAGTATATACACGTGTGGGTATATGTACAGAATAGCACAGTTCCTCCATTCAGGAAAGTTACAGCAGTCACGGAAGTTATTGAAAAGAAATCGGTTTCAATTATAGCAAGGTTACTTGTTAATCTAGAACTCTTATAATTTGTAGGCATTAATGGAACCCAACAAAAGAACAGTCAAATGATTTACAGTGGAACAGATAAAACATGTGCTATTGACCAGTTTGCAGCCAAGTCCATGCCCTATTCACTCAAGTAACATGCACCCGTCAGTTTTTGGGATGGAATTTGCCAAAAAATGTACCCCGGCAAAAGACATGCACCCCAGATTTACATGGTTGAAAATCAAATTTTATTTGAAAATTATGCTGAATAAAATAATATCTGAAATAAATGTAAGGAGATGCTTCATCTTTTACCAAATTTGAGCAAAAAACAATTTATTGTTCATTATATGCACCACCAAAGTAATCACTTATTATTACCACCACTAATGTCCTGATTTGCTGCTCCAGAAGATTTACTCCATCATACCACATGCACCTCACTTTTCTGCCTTGATTATGCAAAAAAAACGGTGCTAGCAGTACTCATGTAAATGCAGTACCGCATTCAAGGGGACACGTTGAATGTATGTGCCTTGTTATTTTAGAATTTTAGATCAATTTATTGTGTAATTTGGTGACAAAGAAATGACACAATTCACAAGGGACACTGAAAACCCTATGCAAGTGAATAAAGAAAGAAATTGCACAAACCCAAATCCAAAAGGAGATTTAAAAATGAAGAGAAATACAAAGAGAGTAGTTTCCATAATAACAGTGAAGGTTTTGATATGAGTATTGTTGGATTAGAATGAAAGTTGAGAGAAGGAAAAACCTTCAGTACTTTTTCAGAGTGAATTTTTTCCAGAGCAATATTGACCCAAAAACGGTGGTGTCTAGCCTGCCAAAAAATTAAAACCATAAGTGTCCATCACACCTGAAAATGCTGATAATCTCTTGTACAAAGTTCCAAAAGAAGGGTCTATCAGTCATTTGTCAAAAATAGCTTAAATAAATGCTTCTCTGAAAAGAATTTCTTGCAGAAAAAGTTTATAAAATTTCAAAAAAATTTAGAGAATTTACACTTGACCCTTCTTTTTTTCGCACCTGAGCTGTTTCAAAATCAAGGCAAATTTTTTCAAAATAATCTATTCAAATGTTGATGGATAAAAATGTACTGATGATCAGCCTCATAGTGAAATTTTCAACAAAGCGAGTTAAAAGAATATGCATTTTTGCAACATTCCAGTTTTTAATTCAACCTTTGCATAATAGCGCACTATTTACAGAAAATTAGAATTCACGTTCATTTCCAACTTAAGGAAGAGTTCAAGAAAATTTCTCAATACCCGCATGAACCACTTTTTAATTTCTTCACAGCAGACCGCAAATATCAGGAGTCGACCGAATATTTCAAGTGTAATATGCAAATGACAAGAAAAGACCAAGCCCAGTTTATTATTCAAGTGTCACAAAGGTACGATAAAAATCTTTCAAAATCATGATCGTAAGCAGAACCCAGTGGTTTCCAAACACAAACACTCTGTGACCCGTCGAAATAATCCAATAAAGCATTTCGAATGACTGAATTGAAATCTTCAGCATTCTCGTATGTTTCGGGGAAAAGCCGATAAATTAACCGAGTCGAATCGCTTCTGTAAATTATAAATTTCTTCAACCAAGTCTTGATATTCATTTCAAAATTTTCCAAAGCGATTGTCTTGTTTGGCAAACTTGTGTACCAATCGCCAATCGAAGCGACGATAACGTCAGGTTTTCTTGCCGTCATTCCGATTCCCTACAGCGAGATAAAATATTCAATTGGACCTGAAGTAATTTTCGTGAAACATTCCGGATTCTTACTGGTGCAGCTTCCGGAATTTTCCCCCGACCCCGGAAGTATTCCTGCCACAGGAAACGAGCTGTAAAACGTGACGACGTGTCGTGGAAATAATCGTCATCTTCAGCTTCAAACTGGAAATGAGCCTCGTCGAACTTTGCCAAGAGCATGGAATAAAGTTCCCTAATTGGCCAACTTCCGATAAATGCCAAATACGTGCCCTTTCTGCGAAAAAACCTCGCTTTAATCTCTCAAAAAATAATTCTCAAAAATTTAAATCTCCGCTTGCATTTTGTCCTGTCGCAAAAAACAGTCTCTCACTGCCTCCAGTGATTTCGTCTCACGACTGCGTTGAAAAGTCCGACCATCATTCATGCAAAATTCCAAATCCCTCGACGGGGAATCAATAAAAACTTTGGCACACAATAAAACCATAACAAGTATCCCAATCACGTTAATTACCCGCAAAATATTCCATTCGAAACTTCCCCCGCAGGGCTTTAACATTTCATCAAACACAAACAACCACCTCCGCGAAAATTATAGCTTCCGATATCGAATATATAAGTGCTGGATGAAATCAGCCTAACGAGAATCGACCCGCAAATAATCCATGCAAACTTTTCTCTTCCCTCGAAACAGAATTCTTCCCACGCTGGGAAAACATTCAACCGAATAATAACCACCTTTATCTTCCTTTCGTTGGTATCTTACGAGAGATTTCTTAAAATTTTCGCGAATTCTCCGACATTTCCAGCACTTTTCAACATGCGAACCAGATGATATGAGAATAGAACAATAGAAAAATATTCATTTAAAAATTGCATGCGTAATATGCAATGAAAATAAGTGACTCGCAGAGATTATTTCGAGAAACCCCTTGGTGTTCATTTCATTATGCAATTCTTCAACCTAGATCACTAATGACACGGGTTTTGAAAAAATTGTTTTGAATCTCGCTCAGTTGGGTTTCTTGCTCAAAAAATATCTAACGCAGTCATTGCATGCGTTGATCAAGATAATCCCCGCGATCAGTCAAGGTTATCAAGATTATCATTTCGTCTACAAACTTTTGCGAGACAGCTGCAATCCTGTCGATGAAAACTGGAGAGACTTTTCCAATACTGAACCTAATTTTTTTTTTCAAAGTGGAACTAATGCACAGTGAAGTACGATAAAATTATGTTACGAAGAATTGCTTTCCAATGAATTCTTTTCTCGGTCCTGGCAGTTTCTTCATAGCAACAATGTAACAAAAATGTCTTTATTAAAAATAAATTTTCCTCTATAATCTCAGTGTAACGAATTTTTCTTCGATTATGTGTAAATGTTTACTAATTGACACCCCATAGGAGAATACCCAGCTTCTGGATAATTGAGAAACCTTCAAAAATATAAATGCTACAATCTTTGTGCAGAGAAGTAGCATTAAAGTAAGTATATGAAGCTCAAATCAAAATTTATTTAGTTTTATTTAGAATTGAAAAATAAAAGGAAAATAATTTTCAACGCTGTCTAGTGCAGTGGAATCTTATTAAAGTATTATAAATCTCAGTATTCATTATTTTTACTGGCCTGGGATTTTCTACATAGCTACAATGTTATGAAAAATATTACAGGTTAAGAAAAAAATTTCCTGTTTAATGTCAGTATAAAGCATTTTCGCCTTGATAATATGCGCATTATTGGCCATAGGTAAATCTACTCATTGGCAAAATATGGGAAAGACTAATTAACTTTTACATAATCAGAAAACTGCCAAGAATTTAAATTTTAATCATTTTGAACAGATAAGTTAGCATTACGTATACAGGGCATCAGAATCTAAAATCAACATTTATTTGGCTTCATTTCAGAATGTAGAAAAAGACTAATTAAATAAATAATGTAGGTTGCTTGGAAGGGTATTACTTCATTTTTCAGGGTACACGCAGTTCTTAAGAATCTCATACTTCATTGAAATTGGTATACCTATATATAGTGTTTTTTGTAATTTTTTGTTTGGAAAATTTAAGGAAGGGAAGGTCTGAAATGTGATAATTTCATATTTCAGTCTGAATTTTCTCCATATTATCAACCGTAAGAATTTCGGAATTAGGGCTATTATTCACATATCTGTTGTCGAAGTACAGTACTGTACTTTACTGTACTTTTAAGTACTGAATCTATATTATCTGTTTCCAACAAAGTGTCAGTCCTACATGCGCTACAAAAACCACAAAACTCGTCACAACGAATTGTTTCCCCCAAGTCCCTCGGAGTTCGTTGTGAAGACCTTTTTTTCTCTTTCTGCATTTCCTTTCATTTTCGGAAGAAAAAAAGCTGGAAAAGTGTTCTCGCAAACAATAGCCGTGACGGGAGAAATCAAGAAGAAACGGGGCTGAGTCACTGCGAGACGATTAATCAAGCCACTTTTCCTACTGCTGCAGCAGCCTCCGTTTTTGGGCGTCGACTTCGCCTGAAGGGAGACCTTAAACTTGGCGGATAATTAATGAATCCTGGGCCTGAAAAAAAAAACGCTTTTCCAGTAGCAACAGACAGCGTTGTCCTTTTTTTTGCTTTCTTTCGGGGGTATTTCCTACGTAAACAGAAATACTGATCAATTAACTTGACACGCGGCACGTGATCAGAAAGTATCCGGAATAAGCTGGGACACGCGCGAGGCCGAAGCGATTTCCTGGACTTTCTTCCTGTTTTTTTTAATGGTAAATATTTCTTTGAGTATATTACAACAAAAAAGTTTCTAAAAATAGTGAGCTTCGTTTAAGAGAAGAAAGACCTCCCATGATTTTTTGTGTGTGTGCAGAAGCAACGAACAAGTTGGAAGGGCAACCTTAAAGTCATTAACGATTTCAGTCAACAAAAAATACTGCCAGAAATTCGAAATATCTTTTCAATATTGAATATTATTGGCGTAAATTTCATCCAGAAACGTTCACCATATTTCCAGCGTACTTGATAAGACTAAAAAAATTCTAATGGATTTTTGTCCAGAATAACCTGAAAAATCCACACATCAGAAAAAAAAAAAGAAAATGCCTTGTTTTTCCTCAAAAGCAGTCAGCTCTAAACTGAAAAATACAGTATATGCTATAATGGAAATCAAAAACACTGAGAAATTTAATATGCACACTCTGCAGAAGCATATACTTTTTTTTCGATCTAAAATGCATCAAGAGAATGTGTGAGAAAATTAATGTAGCTTTTTAGAAAATTACACAAAATGATTGAATGAGAAAAATTGCTTTTCTTGCTTCTAACATTCTCCAATACTGGTCTATTTTTCATTGAAACATTGCAGCTTGATGAAAAATAATTTAATAATAAATTTTGTATTCACATCGTTGCGATTTTTGTTTGGTTTTCAGTAGGGTTCTCAGATTACCCTTATCCCTCAAGTGTGTCCTGCACCTATCACTTGAATAACTTGATCCTCACGCGAATTCAAATACATCAATTATAAATTTAACATGAGTCCTTCTTTTGGTGAGAGGAAAACCCGAAAAATTGATGCATATGAAAAAAAAATTCGCCTGTTGCTTCAACACGCAGGGTAAAAAAAAATATTAACAGTACTACAGTATATATAACCGTATTTCGCAGACAGAATTTTTTCTTTATTTTGTAAATACTTTTTCAAAAGGCAAAGACTCAACATTTCTGTAACCATTGAAATACCGGACATTGAAAGATTACGCAACAGGCACAAACTCAAGGATGAAAAAAAAAAATATCCGACAATAACGTTAGACGAATTCCAGGATTCTGGTCATGATTCAGGTCCAAGCTGTCAAGATATATAAATTGAAATGACCCAAGAAAAGCGGGGGTCTTGTCAACTTGAGAAAAAACCCATTTTGTTTCCCAGGGGGTTGTGCAAACGAGGTCCCCGCGTTTATCTCATGGCTTTTCACGCTGAGAACAAGGGCAACTTAACGGCCTCAGATAGTTCCAGAAAAAAAAAAGTTTTCGCTTCCTACACTTTCTTCCGGAAATGACTTCCCTTATTCACTGTGAAACTTTCTATTCCTGCGTCAAAAGCGTTTTTAAAAACTTCAGACGCGTTTTGCGGAAATCGTAATTCGCTTTTCATTAAATTGGGAGTTTTATTTAGGTCACGAGTAGAAGAGAACATTTCGCTGACAAATGAGGGATTTTAGCTATTCGTGTTTGTGCAATTTACGAGTGAGTTAATGAGTGAAACAACAAAGTTTAAAATTTCGCAAAAAATCAACTCACCAGGAATTGTCCACGGAGATTAAGCCCCCAAAACCGGGGCTTAATCTCCTTTAGAAGAAGCTGTAAATTCCTTCGGCCAAGGTCCTGAAATAATAATAAAAATCTTTATATTTCAGCATCAATTTAATTACAATTAATAAATTACCAGGTCAGTCGCAGGTCAATCCTTTCCGATTCGCGCACAATTTCACTTCACTTTTACACCCGTCACTCAAATGAAAGCACCTGAAATTGCAAAAGTATATTTCGTCGAACTCCAGAAATTAATTCTGAGTCCCACAGTTTACATTTATGTTGAGTAGGTGTCGCCTCTATTTTGTTAGGATTTGCTCGGTTTGATAGGGATGTTGGGTTGGGTTAGGTTACTTTTCTTCAGACAGGATCAGGTTCAACTTGGTTTACTTTAAATATGGTTTTCTGAGTTGCGATTGAAGCGACACCTGCGCGAAATTAAAAATCTTTTAAAAAAACTGCAATTAAAAGGAAAGCAAAGAATTACTTCGACCTATTTCAGGACTCGTCAAACCCATGATGCCATTCAAAAAACTGACGCCAATGTCATGAAGGAAAATGCAAAGCTGCAGCAAAAATGATCTCTCTGAAACGCAAATTGAAGCTCGTCGTAGTTTTTGGCATGCCAATTATTGTTGCGTATTTGCTATACGACACACACTTGCTCGCACTGCTCGGAACCGACAGTTGCCAATGGCTGCTTCGCACTGGAACCCTGACCAACACCCTCGGTTGGCAACCTTATGGCTGTTCATTCCACTGGCAAGTTCAAAAATATTTCCCACTGACTCAAATATCGATTAAAATAAAATAAAATAAAATTTGTATCATTAGGTACACGACCGAAGAAGCGAGAAATTGCATGAAAACTGCATCCCAAAACACGTCGCGTCCGAACTTGTTCGTTTTCGGCGGGGATTCCACGATGCGCGGATTTTTCACTGATTTCGTGGACCACTTCACGTATCGAAAATGGCACCCTTTCTCCCAAAATGACGTTTTTTGGCAAGACCCCAAGATTCGTTTGCACGTCTATTACATGTGGCAAACGTTCGTCGATTCCCCGTGGTTGATTCCGTTCTTCGGGGCGAAACCTGCAAAAAACCTGAAACCGAGTCTCCTCGTGGCATCCGGAGGAGTATGGTGAGTTGCAAAACTCGTTCTGCGCATCAGGGATAAAAACTCTCACCATTAAATTTCCAAATTTTTTGTCGACACATCGAGGATGAATCCTTGAAAATTTCTGGCTACGTGGACGTTTTACTGCGGGAAAAGAAAAAAACAAACGCATGGGGAAAGTAGGTGATGATAAAGGAGAAAAAATAGAAATAATCATGCAAATAATTATGCCACTGCCATCACGAATGACAAAAGATAAAACACATGAAATATCTTCGAAAAAAACAGCTTCTGAAAAATGACGCAAAAAATGACAATACGATTAATTTTTTCTGCATATTTTTAATTCAGAAAAATAATCTTCTATTCCAAAACCTGATGCAGACTTTTTTTAAATATTCCACAATTATGGTCATGTAAAATTATTCCGCGAGGAAAATCCACGCAAAAACAAATAAATAAACGCGGCAGAATACAATTCCGTCGCAGCATAATGCAAATAATTCGAAGTACTGTATAAAAAAAAATGCATTTTCGCTCTTTGAGTGACTCGCAAAATATTTGAGGATGAATTTCCAAACAATATAGTGCTTGGAAATAAAAAATACATGAATTCATGGTCCATGAATAATCATCAAGGCAACACACTGAAACCATCATAATGTTTATTATATGATTTCTGTACTTATTCGAATAGCTGTTATGCAACAATACATAATCATTTTCAATTGCTCCTGTTACATCATTATTGCATTCATTAACTTCTTTTTGTCGCAGCGTTTTCTCTCCTGCGTCAATTTTTCTTCAAAAGGCATCAACAAAAATTCAACGCACGAAATTTTTTTTAAACATTTATATTTGAATAATGAAAGCAAAACTGAGGCTTCAAGCGATAAATATTGTGGTTTCGAACAGGTACAATGCGTTTTTCATGTGGAAAAACTTCAGGGCTCTCGCTTTCAAGAAAAACATGCTGCGCTGGGCAGCCGAAATAAATGCAACTGGAATCCCAATGATTTGGCGAATCCAAGCCACAGTCAGCAACACACATTTGCCAAACGATAAACAGGTTTCTCCCTTTTTCCAAAAATAAATTGTCCACAGATCGTAAACAAAAGAAAAATTAATCGTAAATATTTCTTCGGTTAAAAAAAAAGGTTTGGGTCACAGCTGAAATGACAGAAAAGCTCAACAGCGTTGCCACCGGGGTGGTCGAGAAATACGACCGTTTCCGGATTTGGAACACAGGGGCGAATGCCCTCAAACAACTAATCGTTAAAACAAACAAGGTTTTATTCAGGGACTGGGTCCACGTGTGCCATGCATCCCACGAATACGAGATACAGGTCCTTTTGAATTTCTACTGCAACCGGTTCACAAACCTGGGGACGTGCTGCGACACCTATCCAAGTTTTACTGAAACAGACAGAGAGAAGCTTCATCCAGATTTGAGTACGAGGCGCATCATCATTTGCAGCTTCACTGTCGTATGGTTTTTGGCGATCTGCTCATGCTTTTGGTCGCTTGTGGTCAAAAATTACCCCATAGTGATTTTAATATCGATCGCATTCATTCTGGGGGCATGGAATTTATTATGTGCAGTTTTTGATGCTAGACTTTGATTATTGAGTACTAATCAGAAAAACATGTTATTATGTTTTATTTTTCAGCATCATTGCATAAAAGAAAAATATTAAAAATGAAAAATGTGCAGAGCAAAATCTTAGTTTAAAAATTGTAGAATGGAAAAGAACATTTGAAAGTTTCATAAAAATCTCTGAAAAACATTAAAAAGTAAATGTATTCCCAAAAACTTGGTAAAAGATTCAACTCGCCAGATTCATTCAGACATATTGAAGGTTTCATTTAAAAACATTTTATACATTAAAGAATGATTGTGTTTATGTAAAATTTTAAACTTCACATTTTCGTGGATTTTAGCTGCTCTGAGTGTCACGCAAGAAAACTGCAAAGAAGCATTTCAAAAGTGCAATATAAATAGGTCTTCGACTTGTGTTACGAAAAAAAGGACGCTGTGATTCATTTCAACTTGATTTCTATTCACGCAGAAAAATATCCGCGAAAATAATTGACATTTACATATTTTTTCCAGAAGATGGTTCTTAGTGCTGATGGGACAAATGTGAAATGTGGGCTTGATGCAAAAAGCCGAAAAGTCAGGTTATTTCGCGAATTCGTGTCCAAATTATGGCGAAAATGTTTCATCGCTGGAATCGCGGGTTTTGCGGTTCTACTCATCGCTGATTTTTTCGGCATTTTGAGGAGCCCAAAAACGAGTTGTCACGCTTTGCTGGAAACCGGAAACTTGCTTCCGAATGGAACTTGGCAGCCCTTGGGTTGCCAAGCCTTTGAATACGACACTGAGGATGTTCTCAAGTGCTTCAGGGACCGGAAACTCAGAACTTCCGGCAACTCTTACCTAGGATTTTACGGAGACAGAGAGCTCTTACAATTACTGCTAATAATTCATAGAAAAATCGCTTTTGGGCATTGGGAAAAATATTCGGAAACTGACAGAATGTACACTTCCCACGGAAAGTACGTCAATTTGGGATATTTGAATAGAATATCTGTGGAACGAGTTGTGGACTGGTTCCCACCTAATGAATATAACGAATTTCCGACCCTCGTGGTCATGAATCCGTACCTTGTAATGCGTCCCATTATGTGGGAAATTCCGAAAATTATCACAACCAGTGTGTATACCAAGACCTTCAAGGAAACGATGTCTCAAATTCAAAAAATATCAGAAAATCAAACCGTGAGTATTTTCTTTTCTGTCAGCAAGTTTAAAGGACGCGAAAAGTGACGAGAAGCTTGAAAAGTTTCAGACTTTTATACAGTATCAAACTTTATTTTTTCTCGATATTCTTGTAATTCGAAGGTGATCTGGAGAATGTATCATCCGAGAAATCCAGAAACAGAGGAGATCCTGGGACCGCAACAATTTTCAGGAAAGGAATATTCGGAAATTTTGAACAACATCATTCAAAATAATTATACAGAATCCGAGAAAATGTGGCTGTGGACAAACACGAAACGAATCGAAGAAGAAGTCGTGAAATCCAATCACGCAAATTTGACTTACGCGAATTCGAAGCTGAGGAAAATAGCTGAAATTAATGCGCAAATTTTGCTGAACTTTTACTGCAACAAAGAATTGCGTCTGACTTCGGAATTTTGCTGTTCCGGGATGACGGAAGAATTTCCTCTTTATCCGGTCGTTTTTTACGGAATCGCACTTTACTTATGGTTTTTTGCCATCCTCACAATTTTATTCATTGCTGTTTTCACTTTAAACATTTTTTAGCGAAATTTTCGGAAATATTTCTACGCACACTGGATTAAAATCTTTTTTAAAATCTGAAACTATGTCTTCGAAATGAGGTAGAGATTTTACAAATTAAAGATGAACATACATTTTGAAATGGTTGAGCTGAAATATGGCTGATAAAAAAAAAACAGAATATCCTCCTCACACATATTATGAAAGCACAAATTAATTTTAATGCATCCAAATTTACTCGGGATTAAATTGAATCGTATGCAATTCTAATTTCGGAATTCCATTGGTATAAGCTGAATTATTTTCTTCAATTTTTGGTCTAGAAAATTATTAACAATTCAGTCCCCTGAAGGTTTTTATGTCATTTCTGAAGAACAATAAAAATGTTTTCGAGTTATTGTGCGAACAATAAAAATTTAAATTTCTGTAAAATTCTTTAGCAAAATTTAGACGATGCACAGTATAGTATAATGATATTCATCTATTCCAGGAAATTAGGATTTTATTGAAATCAATGTTGAACAATGTGCTGGAGTTCAACAAGAAACGGCTTAGAAATTTTAGCGAACTTTTATCGAAATCATGGCTAGTAATTTTAGTTGCTGGTGTCGTTGGCGTGATGCTAATTTTCTTCGCTAACATTTTCGGCTCTTCAAGAAGCCACAAAACGACTTGCCACTTATTACTGGAAACTGGAAAATTGCTCCCCAGTGGGATTTGGCAGCCATCGGGTTGCCAGACTTTTGTTTACACTTCTGAAGACATCCTCCAGTGTTTCAAACACCGGAAATTGAAAACTTCCGGCAACTCTTACCTAGGATTTTACGGAGACATACATCTCCTAAGACTGATGCTGCACCTTCATAAAATGATAGAATCCGGATCTTGGGAAAAATACTCCGAATCTGACAGAATGTACACTTCCCGAGGGAAATTTGTCAATTTGGCATTCATGAGTAGGCATTCGATGGACGAAATCGTGGACTGGTTTCCTCAAAACGAATTTAGCGAATATCCAAGCCTGATCATTTGGAATGTGTATAAAATGAAGTGTGCCCCTGAGGGAAAACTTCCAGAGTCTCTTTCAAGAAGTATTTACAACAAGTCCTTCACGTACTTTAAGTCGTTTGTTGACAAACTTACTGATGATCAAATCGTGAGTATAATTTAAAAATAAAAATTTGAAATTTAAGCAGCTCTTTCAAATAAGTCATCTTTATTCGATGACACTCAAACATTCATTTGTTTGAAGATGCTTTGGAGATTTTATCACACGAGAAGTCCAGAGGCAGAGAAAATTTTCGGACCACACGAATTTGAAGGAGAAGAAAACGCGGAAATTTTGAATTCTGTCATGAAATCGCGTCACAAAATCTCCGACAAACTTTGGCTGTGGACAAACACGAAACGAATCGAAGAAGACGTCGTGAAATCCACGGATTCAAATTTGACTTCCAAAAATGCGAAGCTGAGAAAAATTTTCCAAATCAACGTGCAAATTTTGCTAAATTTTTACTGCAACAAGGCCTTGGCACTGCCTTCGGAATTTTGCTGCTCCGGATTTAATGATGCGTTTTCAGTTGATTCTGGTGTCACAATTTATCTTTGTTATTTTGCAGCCTTCGCAATTTTTTCAATTTCTATTTTTATTTTCTCGAAATTTTTGTGGAGAAAATACGAAAACTATTTCACCCTGTACAAAAAAGGTTGGATTCTGCCTGAGGTGCTTATAGAAAAAAGTTAACTTGCTTATTTTTTGTTTTTGTGTTGTGGAAATATCTAGGAATATGTTGACATGTGTTGGAAGCCTTTGAAAGTGCACAGAGTTTTAGAAAGGTTATTCCCACTGAGATCCACGTTGGCCATTTGCGTCGGTGCCGCCATTTGCATCATCTCCATAAAAGGCTACAAAGAGCACATCAAAGCCGGATTAGGACTCGACACCTGCAAATGGATGCTGCAAACTGGGAATTTGCAGTCGGACAGAACATGGAAACCCTTTGGCTGCTCAATGCATTGGTACTCTGCAAAACAGGCTCGAGACTGTCTCCAGGTTCACCAGAATCTCTCGGGAATTTCTTACATCGGAATTCTCGGTTCGTATACTCATCAATAAGAATAAAAAAAAAATCAGCAACAATTTCATTATATTATAATCATTAATTTTTTTTTCGGAAAGGTGATTCAAGAATGCGGGGACTCTTCACTGAAATCAACGACGCATTTTCAGGCATTCAGTGGCACTTTTACGAACAAACCGACACGGTTTACAATTTTTCGTCGCATCATCTGAAAGTCGCCTTTCTTTGGAGGCCTGTTGTGTATGAGAAAACAGTTTTTCCGAGACTTGGGAAGCGGAAACGACCCGAATTGGTCGTTGCTGGGTTCGGACCCTGGTATTTCGGGATCGACGCCGGGTTTTTAAATTTTGCGAGGATCCTCATCTATCGCAGACAGCTGAGACAATGGGCGAAATTCATGAGCAATTACATGGGCGACGGACATGTGAGCGATTTTGATGTGCCAAAACAATGAGGTTTATTTTGAAACGGTAAAATTTCTAGAACATGGTTAATTTCAGCAACAAACGTGCGATAAAAATAATCAAAATTGTATGAGTATATTTTTATTAACGACGAAGGATTTCATGAAAATAGCTGCAAAAAAAAACTGCGAAGATGAAAATAATCGCCGAGATCAGATTTTGTTTTGGCATAATTTTTAGAATCCATAAATTTCGACAGTATTTTCAGGCAATTCTTAATTTATCGTGATATTTTTGTCGCGGAGAAAAGACTGAGAAATTTTTTAAATTCTGTGGCACGGATCGAAAACTGTTTTCGTAATTTGAGAAGAATTGCCTAAAATGGGACATGAACCCTTGAATTCGGAGAAGGAGAAGCAAAGCAAATTAAATTTCAGCAAAAATTCGCTGACTAATGAACGAGGCATTTAATCATACTGATGCAGCATGAAATTATGAATAGAGTAATTTGAAATTTTGTCCAGTGAACTTCAAAAGTTTTTTTCTACGCTTGAACTCTGAACCATTCGGATGACACCACTGCTTGAAAAACAATTCATTATTTTTGCGAAGATTGAAAATAAATTTTTTATTGTTTTGAATATTTTCAGGTAATTTTTAGGTTGCAGCACACGACAAGCGACATTCATCCCCCAAAACCGTCGCAAGAAACATTTACAAACGACGTCATGAGCCAATTGAACAAAGTTGCAATCGAAGTTTTTGCTCAATTCCCGCGAATTTACTTGTGGACGAATAGTCAGAGAGTTTCCGAATCTTTGGTCAGAATTGGCAAAGTAATTTACAGAGACTGGTTGCACTTGTGCCACGCGACACACGAATTTGAAGTGCAAATGCTGCTGAACTTTTTTTGCAATCGGTTCGGATTGTTCGAGGATGGGACTTGCTGCGATCAAAGAGAAGTGAATTTTGACAATATTGGGGAATTTGTTGTGCCAAATTTCGTGGCTAAGGTTTGTGAGTGGGTCATCAAAATCAACTTGGGAGGCATTTTACTCGGCTGTTGTTGGAAGAGATTTTTTATAAATTAATTCTCAGGAAATTTTATGGTATTTTTCTAATCACCAAGATTTTGATATTTAATAGGCATTCTAATTTTTTTTTCTGAAGCCGCACCACGTCATTAAATATTCGCAGGGTGAACAAAACAGTTTCTGTGCCATGATGCATTTTTAAGATGAACGCAAAATCCACCGAATTTGAGTAACAACTTCTTCATTACACATAGATGTCGCGTCTCATCAATGGTGTCAATATTTTTTCCAGTATTGACTACTAAGCGAAATTTCCTGCCAATTTCTGAAAACCGAACTTATTTCTCTTTTGGCTTTTAATACTGTACATAAGAATTTCTAAGTTTTCTAGCGCACAGTAACTTTTTGAACGCCCTGTTTATTACGTGAATAACGCTTGCAAATTTCATAAGTCCTAAAATATTTTCTCCATCAATAGAAGAAGACATTTGCATGGAATTAATGCCCTCGTTTTTTGCAGAAATGAAGAAAACGGTCAATGCGAATATTGTTTTATTGATTATCGTGCTGCCATATTCAGTGTTCTTAGAGTTGTGCTTCATCGAAAGCAGGATGCACGACAAACGCGACACCTGTCAGCTACTTTTTGAAACCGGGAAGTTTGAGGGAAAAAATTGGAAACCCGAGGGCTGCTCTCTACATTTATACACGCCGGCGGAAGCGAAAATTTGCTTCCGAACAACCGCCAACCAAACCGGAAGGATGAACTACTTCGGATTCCTGGGCGACTCTCGAATGAGGGATTCTTATTCAGTATTTTTGGCAGAATTCAGTTACAAAAGGAAAGCTGCCGTTTTGCACACAGACATTATGACATTCGACAAAGACTCCAGGACCATGGTGAAGTTTATCTGGCAGCCATACTTGTATGAAAATTCATATTTCCCGCAGGTGAGCTCGAATTCATCAAAAGTTCCCCTTACATTTTTAATGCAATTTCTTAATCAAATGAATGACACGAAACAAAAAAAATTGAATTTTCTATGCGAGGTCTAAGATTGTACATGAAGGGATAAAACTTTTGTGCGAAAAACGTTCAAAATTTCGAAAAGCAAGCGCAAATTTAGCTGAAGAAGACGAGAAAAAATGTCAACTGCTTAAAAAGATTCGCAATTTTAAAAATCACAAAATCTCCTAAAACACTAATTTTTTTTCATTTGAAAAAAAAAGAGAATATTATCAACCTAATTTGTATAGGCTGCAGTTTCACTTCCAGGATTTCGTGCCATGAGGTAATAATAACATTCAATTATTTTAAATTCTTTAACTGCTTTCGAAATATTTATTTCTGTGCGGCAGACTTGAAATACAGTAATTCTTGCGCACATTTTCACGGCAAAAAAAAATGATTCGTAATCGATTTCAAATTGCTTCTTGAATGTTTGTCGTCTCATCAAATTCGCAAAGGGAGCGTCAACAATTTTCGCGTGAAAACTGCATTCGCTAAATAATTATCTTGCTGACATTTTAAAAGGCACGTCCTCAGTTGTATGGACCCTCGGTCATTGTGGCATCAGTGGCTTCGTGGTACCTCATGACATTCTGGACAATGCATGGCGCCGAGACTTTGGCGTTCAAACGGCAGATCAAAATTTGGGGTGAAGCCCTCGTGGCCCAGTTTCCAGCCACGACTATTATCTGGAAATTCCAACAATATCCCAGTTACCAGAACATCATTCCTCCGTCTCACGTGAACATAACTGACGATCGGTACCAAGAGTTCAACAAAATCGCAGAAAGTGTTTTCACTTCAACACAGTCTGACGTTTTCGTGTGGAAATCCATTAGATCAATGGCCGAAGGGATGAAATACTCGGGTAAAAAGGTTTACAGGGATTATTTGCACCCTGGGTATCTTTTGTACCAGATCGAGGCCCAGATTTTGTACAACTTTTATTGCAATCAAGTGATGCTACCGAGGGATGGAACGTGTTGTAGAACTCTGAGGCAAACCGATGTCATATCAGGGTTTGAAAGTGAAGTGAAATTAGTCAATTTGATCATGTTTATTCCGATTTGGCTGACTGGGAACCTTGCTGTTTCACTAGCTTGGAGAAAATTATCTTAGGTCTTCATTTTTTATCTTGAAAGTGCTTGAAAACCCAGGAAGTCTTTCAAATGCAGGTTGGACATTTTCAAGACATTTTTTGAATTTCCAATTACAGTGTACCCTTGGTTAAAAAACTGCTTGGTTAACATAATTTGGTTAACAAACCAAATTTTGAAGAACAAACTATTTTCTGGGGGGGGGGGGGGGAATACCAAAATTGAAAATTCAAAATTTGATTTTAAGGCTGAACTTTATGGTTCAATCTAAGTGCAAAAAATTCAGCTATGCACTGATACAGAAATTCTTTCCTTATTCTGGCCCTCTAATATATGTTATCTTGTGTTTTAAAATCTGTTTCAGCTCAAATATTCATATACTTCATGTTTTTCTGTGCTTGGTTTTTCTAGTTGTTCAATTGTTTAAAAGGTTTATTTGATCTTCTTTTCAGCATTGAAAAGCGAAATTTTCTTTTCACCTTGAAGGTATATCCAAAGGAGTACATTTCTTTGAATGTGAATTTTTTTCAATGTTCAATTGTCTTTTGGGTTCATGGAATGGACTAAATGCTTCCTCATTGAAGTCTATGGAAAGTCAAATTTAGTGAACAAACTTTTCAGTTAAAATAACTTTTGTGTTGACCCAATCAGGTTGGTTAACCAAGGGTCCACTGGGTACACGAATTCTATGACTTACATTCTCCATTATTAAATTAAAAAAAAATCGCCATGGCTGTTCAAAAAATGCAACTCAGCTTTTTCTCTCCTCAGAATGATGAATGTATAATTATTTTTTTTATTTTTTTTTGGAAACGCGCGTAATGACATAAGAAAGGTTAGTACATTTCTTTTAATTTGTCCATTCTTTATTCTAAATTATTGATCGCTGAATAAAGTGTTAATACAGATGTGACATTTTTTTTCAGAATATGAAGGTTGCAAATCGGATTGAAAAGGTGAGCGGGATAATTTGCTGGGTTGTGCTGCCAGCGCTGATTTTTCTGCACAGCAAAACTGGGTTCCATTGGCTTCACGATGACAAAGAGTCCTGCGGTTCTTTACTAACCACTGGCAGCTTTTCGCGAATTAGCAACAAATGGCGGCCCTCATTGTGCTCTCTTCACTGGTACACGAAACCCGAAGTCATTACCTGCGCCAAAAAAAGAGCAATTCGTGCAAATCGAACAGAATACATTGCATTCCTCGGGGATTCGAGAATCAGAGACTCTTTCTACGCATTCATAGACATTTTCGACTACAGACAATATCATCCAGTGGCTTCATTCGAAGATATGCAATTTGATGTTCCTGGTCAGGACATTGTGATTCAGTTCATGTGGAGGCCGTATTTAATTGACTTTCCGGACACGCATTTTTATCACTTGACTCCGGATGGACAAGGATTAGTGACTTTGGTGCATGGTGCTGCTGCCTGGTACTTGATGACATTTTGGGACATGAAAGGGGCTGAGTTGATAGCCTACAGGAGGCAATTGAAAGTTTCTTTGGACAAGATCAGTGAAGAGCTTCCTCACACGCAGATCATCTGGAAATTTCAAGTTAGTTCTGATTTTATTGTACAATCAGACAACAGTATTCAATGCTGCACGTTTATAGCTTCTGCTTTTTTTCCGGCCATGCATTTCAGCGACACCTACCCGTAATTTATAAAAAATGATTTCAGGGGACTGGTCCCTACATAGTGGAATCCCAACATTTAGGTGCCCCAACATCCAGAAAAATCAACTTAACCCTTGGGTGATGGTAATGCTGGAATAAAAGGAAAAAATACAATACATAGCATGTGTGGCTGAAATGTCACAAAAAGGCAGAATTTTGGAAATGAAACACCAGAATCAGCTGTGGGGTTAAGCTGGGGATATATTTATGAAATCCCAAAGAAAAAAGATAAGATGTATTTAAAATTGTTTTAACTCCATTGATCACACACACAATAAAAATCACACAGGAAATCAGTGGGATTATAGTTAATTCAATAACAGTTGGTTCCAGACTAGACTGTCTCAGGAATAATGAATATTGAAAAATGTTGGAAAAGTGACTTTCTAAGGTTTTTTGTTCTCTCCCCTTCCAGGAATCTGCAGAAAACAGGAGTGAAGTCTTGAATGTTCTGGATTAATCAAAATAAATCTTCAGACAAAGTTATTGTATGGTTTGTGGTACTTTAACGTACCAAATTAGTCTGCCACAGCATGGCCAGAAGAGCCAAAGTGCAGAAAAATCCTGATTTTTTGCTCTTTTCTGAAGAAAACTTCCTAGGAAAATTATTTACTGCTGGGTGGCAATGTTTCCACATTTGTGCCATAAAATTAGCATTGAGAGATTTTGAAAACATTGGTTTATACTTTTCCAGATTTTTCCAGACTTTGGCCACTCAGCCAAAGCTGTATTTATAGCCATTGGTCAAACCAAAATACACAAGCATAACAAGTTTCAGCCGAGTGCTGAAAATATTTCCGAGCCTGTAAAATAATCAAAATATCCGAATTTTATTTTATTGCTTGATGATGATAATGCCAATTAATATCATGATGATTCAAATTTATTTCAGGTGCAAACAAGCTACCAAGACAAGCCTCCTTGGAGCCACGTAAACATAACAGACAAAGTTTTTGAAGAATTCAACAGAGTAAGCCAAGATTTGATTGTGTCTGAAAATTACGATAATATGTGGATTTGGTCGAGTCACAGACACGTTGCTGAGAGCTTGAAAACATCGGGTGGAAGGGTATTCAGGGATTATTTGCACCCCGGAAATTTGCAATATGAATATGACAGTCAAATTCTGCTCAATTTTCATTGCAACTCCATCATGCAATTCAGTGATGGAAGTTGTTGCAGGAAACTGTGGGTCCATGAATTTCCAGGATTCATTCTGGAATCATTAATTAACGACTGGATTAGCTTGATTGCGTCTGTTTGGACTTTGATCTGGAATATTTACAAGTTTGCGAAAAAGTATCACTTGATTCAAGAAAAATAGCTTGCCAAAAAGTGATTGAAGAAGCTCGGCAATATTCGAAACCATGTGCAATAAAATTGCGTGAAAGATTTTTGCGAAAATGTTCAAATGAATTTCAAAACCTTGGTATTTATGATTTTTCGCAACGCAGTTTTAATTCAGAAATTTGCTTTTCAGACTATAGAAGCGCGATCGCAGTTCAAAATAATTTTTCAAAGAAACCTTTGCAAGAAATGGATTTTATTTTATGTGCAAAAATCTGGGAAAACGCGGTTTTCTGAAAGGCGTTTCTGTGGATTCTAAAATCAAATTTACACGATGTGTGAAGCAGTTTTGACACAATTTCCGGAAAATATCACAAGGGAAATTTGCGTGAGTATTGCATTACTCAAATATTTTAGAAATTCAAACAAAAGCACGTGGAATTGCAGGTGAATGTTCAAGTTTTTCTCAAAAATGTTCAAATGCTTTCTCAAGAGGATTGTAAACAAAATCATCTGGAAAATTGCGGCCATCCTCACTCTCGGATCACTTTCCATTTTCCTGATAACACAAAAGGAAATTAAATACGAAAACGATCTCTGTCTTCGCCCGTTGTTGCAAACTGGGAAATTGAGACGGGATTTAACTTGGAAACCGAATGGCTGCGAATTTCGTTGGTACAATTCGACAGACTCGATGGAATGCGTGCGAAGAATGAACGGGACATATTTTGCATTCGCCGGGGACTCGAGAATGCGAGAACTTTACAACACTTTCGTGGCTCAATTTTCGCCGGTGGAAACGAAATTCAATGAAAGAATCGACCACGAATACGTAAATCAGCGATTGAAGCTCAGAGTGAAATTCATTTGGAGAGAATATTTGCACTGGGACTGGAAATTTCGACCAGAATACCGGGGCTTTGAGGTTTCTTTCTACTATGATATCTTCTGATTCTGCATTTAATCATACAATTTTTAAAATTTAATTCCTCAGATTCCCGTGCTACCAGATGTGATAATAGCAGGGGCGGCGTTTTGGTACATGGCTTTTTGGCCGCAGCCCGATGCGCACGCAGTCGCGTTCGAGCGACATCTACGTCAATTCGCAGAAACAATGCTCGCTGACGACACTCAGCCCCTTGTGCTCTGGAAACTCCAGTATCCAATCAGCAATGAACACCCTCCGTTGCCATTCCAGACAATGATCACGAATGAAAAAATTGGCAACTACAACGACATTTCGTGGAAGGTGTTGCGGGATTATGAGAATGTCTGGGTTTGGTCCAGTGGGGTTTTGGCAGCCCAGGATTTGATGCAAGGGCGAGGGAAGAAAGTGTTTCGGGACTATGTTCATCTTTGCTACGCCGTTCAAGAAATCGAGGTTCAGCAGTTGCTGAATCTTTTTTGCAATCGGTTGATGGCTCAGGAACACGCGGGATTTTGCTGCAGTCAACTTCAACATGACATCCAAAGACCTTAATTTATAAAGACCACACAAGAAACCTAGCTTATCCATAGCAAAAGACTAATAAATTCTAGACAATGGTATTCCTTAGAAAATCAAATCATCCGGATGAAAATCAATTTAATTCCCATTTAATGCATGTAAACAAGAAAATTTTCAGTGCTTGAGAAAATTCCCAGAAATTTCGCAGATCACAAATCCAAAATTCTGACAAAATCAAGAGTTGGCTGTTTTTAATAATTTTCGGATTTTCATAAAATATTGTGACAATCGATAAGCGTGTTCCTTCAATATTTAGATCTAAATGGGGAAAAGAATGATCAATTGCATTGGAAAATGCAAAAACGGATCATTTTCAAAATTTAAGAATTCAAAGAAAAATGGAAGTGTTATTAAAACTCGAACATTTGGTTGGAAATTTCTTTTATGCCAAACATTTCAAAATATAAATCCACAAGACACAAAATTCATCGTTGCTCTCGAAAAATTGTCACATGAATAATCAGATTAATTTAAAAAAAACTGGATTTTCCTTCACAGGCGGTTTGAAAAAAAAAAGGTGTTGAATGAAAAGTTATGCGGAAGCGCAGGAAACTGCTGAACTTGGCCCGGATGCAGCGACACCTAGACTTGTCACTGAAAACCGTCACGGGCATTCTCCTAACCATGATCGTGATCCAACTGGTGCTGATTTATTTGCATGGCACAGACTCGTGCAAATGGCTTCTGACAACTGGTCATCTGCTCAGTAGCCTGGAATGGAAGCCATTTGGATGTCGAATGCATTGGTATTCCTTGGATGACATCACCGCGTGTTCTTCCGCGCTGACAAGAGTAAATAATGATGGAACTCTGAAAATGCTCCAGATTGTCATCTGGGGAGATTCTAGAAACAGGATGACGTTCAACTCTTTGCTGGATAATTTGGGAAAGTTCTGCTTGGATCGGATTTTCCATGAAGGAGAATATTATCGCGACGAAGACAAATTTCTGGAGATGCTGTTCGGATGGGACCCCTTTTTGGAATTTTTCCCTGATTTCCCTGGAAAAGTTGTGCCGGAAATTGTCATTGCAGGTCAGTTCCTCAAGTGACAGAAAACTTGCATGCTGATTTATTCACAAATATTTTGTGTGATGGGTCTCAATAATTTCTTCATAAAAATCTCATTTAAAAAAAAGAATTTTCATCCATTATTCCAGATTTTAAAAATGTCTTGCTCTGATTCTGCACATATGATTGGTATTTTTTGATAATTTAAAGAAAATAAGATAATCGGTGATTGACAGAAAAAATATGATTTCTTATCGGAAGAAACAAACGTGTGCAGGAAAATAAAGTGTACTACTGCACTTCAAAAAATATGCACCAAACTCTTTACCTTTCTTTTTTAAACCTTCATTCAAGGATTCACCAATGGTTTTTTCTTTCAAATAAGCAAAAAACTATAAATATATCAATTTAAATCAAATATTAACTTAGTTACGAAGGAATAAGTGACAAGGAAGTAATTTTTACGAATCTACTTTTTTGAATTTTATTTCCCAAGAATATCAGCCCATTATTAGGAAATTTGAAGAAAGGCAGGTCCAATATAAGACAAGCTTATGATATTCTCTGTATAACGAATATTTTATTTATTTATAATGGGTTCTTTTCCTGGGTTTTATGAGTTCTTCACAACAAAATTCTTTCTAAAGCGATTGTTTCTGGCGGTCCCTTGAATTTCGTTGTAAAGAGAGTCCACCTATATGATACAATTATAAAAGTTGGAGAATCGTTATGATTGGGGTTCATTGGAATATTTTTCTCGAAACTGCCAAAAATCTGTGCTCTGCAAATTTTCTCCCAGGGGACGCTTTGTGGTACATGGCAGCATGGGATGGAGCTTTGCAATCAACAGCCATCCCGGGTTTCAAAAGATGCCTAAGAAAATGGGCCACAAAGGCTAGAAAACATGCAAACACTACAACCTTCATCTGGAAACTGCAATACCTAATCAGGGACGATTGGGTTCCCCCAATCACCACCAAATTCCCATTTATATCGAACCCGCGGATGAAGGAATTCAACGCAGCAGCGATCGAAGTGCTGACTCGCGAATTCCCAGAGATAATTATCTGGTCGTCTTCCGAGAGTCTAATTACTTCATTAATGACCAAGGGATTCCTCACACACCGAGACGCGGCTCACACTAAATTCGCTTCGGAAGAATATGAAGCTCAAATTGTGTGGAACCTGGTTTGCAACAAAGTGCTGGAATCCAGCACTGGTAATGACCTGTGCTGTAACAAGGGATTCGGACATTCAACTTTTGCCGTTTTGCCAATAATCATGAGCTTACTTTTGTTGACTGTTTCACTGGCAGTGATTCGATCAGCACTGAAGGTGAAAGCTTTCACATTTTTGCAGCGGAGTGCGTCGTGTTGAGCACAATTAATTGCTCAAATTATTTTACATTCACAGAAATTATGGAAGATGATTTCAATAAAAGTTTTGATAATTCGTAGTTAAATCAATTCATTCCTCATAAATGATGCTTCAGGATCTCATTTTTCTAATCTTCATTCAGATTTTTATTTTTTGGATAGAAAACCTGATTTGCTTTCTCTGTTTCCTAAAAACAAGCCAGAGGCAGAAATTTCATGCGCCTATCCAAAATGTTTTCCATGGTTGAGAAAAAAAAAACGATGCAAAAGTCACAATGGAAAACATTGTAATTTTTATTTCGGAAATGATCAAAACATGGCCCAGAATTTCGTCAGGCAAAATGAAACATATTGTGGGACAAGCGAATTGGCACACCTTAGTGTCGATAGATTTTAGATTATTCCTGCATGGTAATTAAAAGAATATTATTTTTGGATGAAAATGCTGTAATAAAGCACTCTTTTCCAAATTAACAAAGATAGTTTTAAGATGAGATGCTAAAAGTTATTTTCAAACATTAGACATATACATTTTCTTGAAAACTGAAATACAGTATGCTGTAGCCATACATTTTTTCCCCATCCAGACAATTTTCCTTGGTTAAGAAAGAAACTGTGCAAAAAATAACATTGGAAAATAGTGCCATTTTTTCTTCAAATGTTCCATTTCCTTGACTAAACTCTAGGCTATGTTTAAACATGTTGTGTGTTGTGTGATTACCGGAATAAAGTACAGGTATCTTAAACGCTAATAAAGACGTACCGTTAATTCTTTATGATAATACAAAGTTCATAACTTTATTCCGTGAAAAAAGTTTTAGTTAGCTTTTGCATGTTGCTACTCGAGCTGAAAATCATTTTTAAAAATTGAACGAGTGCTTTTTATTGTTTGTTTGACCACAAAGGACCAATTTTTTTCCATCAGGGAAACCTAAAATGTGATTATTTTGTGACAATGGTGCAAAGTGGGATCTCAATTCATAGAGTGGAACCGAGGTGAGTCCGCCATTTTCATCACACCTTTTCTGAGCTCTGAGCAATTTAAAAAAAAAATACTGAATACGATTAAGTTTTCAGGAGGCAAGCATTAATTTTCAGACGCTTGGAGCGACTTCTTCGATTGCTGCTGAAAGCTTGGGGTTGGATATTATTCCCAATGGCCACAGTTTACTTGGCAAATGATGTTTGGCACACACACTTACATGGGTATGTTTCAATTACTCCCTCGAAGCTGATTAAATAATTGTCTCAGCTTTATATCCTTATTAAAAAAAATAATGTAGATCAGATTCTTGTCAGTGGCTGCTGCAAACAGGGCACCTGACCTCGGATCTCCGCTGGCAACCCTGCGGATGTTCAATGCACTGGTACTCACCCAAGGAAGCAGCCATTTGCATGAACGAGTCTCTCAAGTTGAGCCAGGGCAACTATATTGGGTTCAGTGGGGATTCCAGAGTCAGGAACTTGTACAACGTTTTTGTGCACATGTTCGGACAGTGGCAACTGGATTGGCACATACACGCCAATTCTTCTTTTCACTCGGATCCCTTGACTGTGGAGTTTATTTGGCGCAGTTTCGCTTCCGGGGTCTGGGGATTTCCGCAAAGAGACGAATATCCGTTTGAGCCAACTCTGATCATTGTCGGGTGAGACAGTTTGTCAAGAAAAGTTTGTAAAGATTTATTCGGGAATTTTTAGCATCACGATTTGGACTGTCGTATTTTATGCAGTGAAATTCCATTTCAAACAAGACGTTATAACGATATTTTCCTTGGTCCAATCAGTTTTTTATAAAAATGTCCTCTTAACAAACTCCTCTTAGGCTGTAACCTCAGTATAACAAATTGTTGGCCATCCTTCCGTGAAAAAGCCATGGACATTATTCCATAAATTGCGGAAAGATAAAAAAAATTGAATCGGTGCAGCATTCAAACTTCAAAGATGCAACACTTTCTGCAGATAAATTTGAGGTTAAGGAAATTACGTAAAATATTTATTGGAAATTTTTAGCTCAATTTCAGAATATATATAATGCATTCCTTTAAAAAATTAACGTTTCTTTATTAAAAAAAAACCAGTATGAATGACTAAGTTGATTCAGACAGAAATATTTCTTCCACATGTACATTGTTATTTCAAAGTTAAAAAAAACCGCATTTTTGTAGAAAGGCGAGTTCAGTGAAAGTAAAGTACTTTACTAAATAGTAAAAATAATTTTCCTCTTCAATTCATCCGAGGAACTTCAGTATTTAGTACCCATTTTCACAAAATTTTGGTGTAAACTGTGTTGAAACCTGTGAATCTCAATATACATTTTTTTCCTTATAACCAATTTTTATTCATTTCCCGGTAGTTCGTTATACCGAGATTCTATACTGTACTTTCAAAAGAGTAGCAATCACTGAGTATCAGTCTTCCTGGTATACGTTGCAAAACATTTATAATCTTACTAATGCAAAATAATTTACCCTGAATGCAAAATGTGAATGCATTCATTACAATTTAACTGAAAAACACAACATGATCAATACAGTAGTGTTTTAAAAAATTTGAAAAGGTCTGGGCTGTGGTATGTGGAACCAGAAAACATGCGAGGCAAAGAAACCACGGCGTTTCGGCGAGACCTTTTGCACTGGATTGCCAATTTGACCCGATGGACCGACCCCGACTCGACACTGATCATCTGGAAATTCGCGTCGGGACTCAGTCATCGTCACATTCCACCGCCATCTTTTCCTGTCAACACAAACGCAATCATGGCCGAGATAAACTCAATTGCCAAAGAATTGCTCTCGCCGATTCCGAACATAATTGTTTGGGACAACGGAATTCGAGTCACTGCAGAATTGAAGCGTGTAAACCGCGTCATTTGGCGGGATTATGCGCATGAAACCGTGGGAGTTTCAGACGTGGAGACGCAAATGATACTGAATATTTATTGCAATGAATTGATGCAATTTATCGATGGCACGTGTTGCACCACGGGGCTGAAGAATGTTTTGAAAGGTCGTAGGAATGTTGCAGGTGTTATTCTTGGAATTGCTTTTCCTGTGGCAGCATTTAAAATCCATCAATATTTTCTCGTTGCCATTCACGCAATTTTTTCAAAAGCAAGATTTTTAATAAGTTTCTGAAGGCATTAAGCTCATTTCCAGAAGATATTGCTGATATTACAAAGGAAAAATCAAAGAGAACAAAATTCTAAGATAATCACAGATAATTCTGGTTTCAAAAATTTAAAAAAATTAAAATTTGAGTCCAAACTTTGAATCTCTAAAGTTTGTAATAGCCTGAGGTTTTTTGATTGAAAAATGAATTCGCCGTCCAAATTAATTCGAGGGTATGCGGTTTTTGAGATGAGCTAGGAAATTACGGTTCAGTTTTGAAATGTAAAAATTATGAATCCTGGGAAGCTAAATTCAAACAAGGTCACACCCGTCTTTTCGTTGAAAAAAATTGAAACCTGCAGCTTCATTTTTTTTAGCAAAGTGAATTTTAATTCAAAGACTCGTGATTTGTTTTCACTGCGATTTGCAAAGGTTATTCCATGAATATTTTGGTTTAATTCAAAACACAGTAATAGTTGATCACGCATTTCCTGAACTTTTAGCAGCTCCTACGCCAATTTTCACGATGTGCTGGTCCTAAAAAAAACTCTTACCGCCATCAAGGTTACACCAAAAAAGCGAAAAAATATCGGCGAATTTCACTGAAAATTATTCAAGAATATTTGTTCATGTTTACATCAATGTTGTTTACTTCAAATGTTTGTTTCAGGAATGATAAACAGCCATGTGACTGTGAAACAGGTCTTGTGTATGATAGTTTTCCCTTACTGCGTGTTCCTGGAACTGATGCTAGTGCAGCGCAGGATGAGCGATGCTCGCGACACCTGTGAACTACTTCTGCAAACAGGAAAATTCGTGAAAAACATCTGGACTCCTAGAGGGTGTTCAATGCATATCTACTCAGCATCCGAAATGAAACAGTGTTTGCGAATCTCGGCAAACCAGACAAAAAAGATTAATTACATTGGTTTCATTGGCGACTCGAGAGCAAGAGATGCTTACCAGCTTTTTGCTGGACATTTGACTTCAGACAGGAGAAGATCAGTGATGCAAACTGATTTGTCAACGTATGACAAAGAATCCAAAACTTTGATCAAGTTTCTTTGGAGGCCATACTTGTATCAAAATTCAAACTTTCCTCAGGTAAACAAGGATTTTTGCATTGCATAAGTACAGTTATGATGATCTGCTGATACAAGTAAAGAATGCATCATTGACATACGTGGTGGCCAAGGATTTTTCCCCCAGAAAATCACTGATTTTTTCAAACAATAGAAAACATTTTAAATAATTCTGTATAAGGAAATCAAGATCTTATATGTGCGCAGGTAAAATTTAAAAAGTGTCTCCAGGCATTAATTTCAAAAATATTGCTACAAAAATTTATTCAGTACTTAATATCCAACATTTTTACTATAAGTCCAGTTTCACTTTATTTACATAGGGGAAAAAATAAACGCATTTTATTTAAAAAATATCTTTCTGCAAAACATCAAATGGTTTAATACATATAAAAATGTGTATATATAGATGCAGATATTTTTTTCATATATTTTTATTTTACATATGGTTGAGAAAATGACGCTTTACAACAGATGATATGAGCTGAAGTCTAGGAATAATCATAAAAATCTGTATACTGTATAATTTTTGTTACACAAGTTTGAAATTTTTGCAGGTAAAACCTTTATTGAACCAGCCTGATTTAATAGTAGCCTCTGGTGGTGCTTGGTACATGATGGAATTCTGGAACATGAAAGGGGCAGACATGGTGGCCTTCAGAAAGCAAATGGCGTCCTGGCTCAACAAAATGGCGTCTCGATACCCAAGCTCAGTTATTTTATGGAAACTTCAAGTGCAACCTAGTGATACAATAAAGCCCCCACCTGGACACAAAAACATAACAGATGCCCATTTCCAAGCCTTCAACAAAATCGCGCAACAAACAGTGGAGTCCTTCAATAACGACAGAATCTTAGTCTGGAGTAACACGAGGCTAATAAAAAGAGGGATCCGAGGATCCCTGAAACATCTGGACAGGGATTACTTGCACCCGGCGCACTCGTTGCTAGAAATGGAAGTCCAGGTTATTTTCAATCTGTACTGCAACCAAATTATGTCCTTTCCAGATGGAACGTGTTGCAGGAGACTCGAGGACACAGAGTTGGAGGGACTCAAGTTTGAAAGAACCTTAGTTACCTTTGCTGTGTTCATTCCGGTGTCGATTTTAGCCTTGAAACTCTGGTCCTAACTTTTGGGGGAATTTTAGATAAAATAAACTTGGCACACTTTTTGGCGCAGTTTCGCAACTTCATGATGAGTTTTCAGGAGTGGACTAGATCCGAAACAACATGCATCATCACAAACGCAAGCTTTCGATCAATTTCGGATTTCGGGATCGTATAAACCGGAAATCCAGGGAAATTCCAACCATGACGTTTTCGATATGAGAATGACACAAAGTTGGGAATGCAAATTTCCCGACTGACAGGCCTTTGACTTTCTGACAACCTAAACCACTATACGATGTTACGCAACAACCTGATTTCTTCGAGGTTATTTACGTCCCGCAATTAACTTTCAAAGGTACTCCCTCGGCGATTTAAATTTAATTTGCATCCGATTAAAAATTTCCATCATGAATATCTGAACTTGCGCCCTTTTCTTTGCCAATTTTTCATTTTCAAAATGAATTTCAGCCTGGGAGAACATTAATTTATATTTTTTTCACGGAAACATTTTCAACATTGCGGGAAGCAGGATGAAAGATTGAAGCGCATGATTTCTAGTAAATTGAAAAAGCAATAGTACATGAAAATATTCTAAAAGCTCAAGTGCTGTATTTCTAAACAGGGCTTTTAACCGACCAAATAATCAGTTGAATAGGCGGGATTTAAATACGATATTAAAAACTATTCCAGAAGAGTTTACTGTGAATGATGTGTTCGTAAATAAGCCTAACTTCAGACAAACCTGTCTGGAAAGTTGTGCAAAATTTCAAGGTTTATTAATTTTTGCATAATACACGGCGTCACGCTCGATGTATTTCATTTTGGATCGCTCATTAAATAATAAACCAGCAATTACAACACTTTAAGCCAAACCGGCTCAACATTTAAGAATAATCTGTTTCATCCGTGGAATTTAACTCATATCACGAAAATGTTGTTTATTCAAAAGCAGAAAATGGCCTCAACTTGTGGGATTTTCTTTGAAAAATTACTAAGAAAGAAACGGGATTTTGAGTTTTTTGGGGCAGTTTTGCATCCAAGGCTTTCTTCGATAGCGGAAAATACTGCTTAGGGCAGACTAAAAACCAAAAAAAATCCATTTGCTGAGTCACAATCCCGGTTTTTCCCCTGGGTGGGGAAAAAAGTCGGGGAGCGGGAAAATTGAGAATGTGACAAAGCAAGAAATTTTCCACGATTTTTCGAAAATTTTCTCTCTTTGCCCCAGCGAATATAAAAGCTAGGAACCCAAGCGTGCTTTTTTACAATCTCTCTCTGGATCATTGCGATTTAAATCTCGGGAAGAAAAAAAGGAAATTTGACAAGAGAAAAGTCATGACAACTGTGAGTAAATTAGAACGCGGCGGGGTTTTGTCCTGTTACGATGTGGGCCACACTTGGAACCCGTCGTGCTTCGGATCTGCCGCAAGTTTAGGCGCCGGCGCCGCCGTGTCAAGTGTCAAGATTTACGGCGTCCTTTACCTTGTGTCGGCGTTGGTGAAAAGGCGCCGCATTTCTGCAAAAATTCTGCAAAGGACGCTGGAAAACACTCTTCGGTCCAGCGCGTTTCTCAGCATTAACGCATCCGCATTTATCGCCTGTTTCTGCGTCTTGGGGTGAGCACAATTTTCAAAATTGCAACGATTATTTGTTCACTGCTTTCAAATCATATACAATACATCGTAAATTTCTCCAAGGAAGGTCAATAGTTTCTTCCCCAGCTTCTGTCGAAGTCAGACGGACTTTTGCTGTTCGTGAAATTGTTTTCAAACTAGTATTTCATTCATTCATAATTTCTGAAAAATTTCAAGCTAATATGGTATTCTATATGAATAATTTCATAAATATTATTCATATAAAATGCATTTTTTTCACCCGCTCTCGCTTTCATAAAGATTTCTCTAAACTTCAATTTTAACTCGCAGTGACCGAAATAGCCACATTTTAACAAATAATTGATAAAAATTGAATTGAACCTTTGTCAATGGTGTTTCCGTTTGCTCATTAGCTAAAAGAAAGTGGGAGAAAAGCGTAGAAAACACCAAAGAACCATAAAAAAACCTTCCTGATCTTTTACAAACGCATAATAAATCATGATTACATAGTCATCTCGGATGTACTGTAAGTGGGTTCATAAGAAAGTTTTTCTAATCTCAAGTTCCACTCACTAGAGGTTTGTTGGATTAGGGGTTCAATTCTTGCTTCGCAACTTTATCAAAACTCGCTCACCGAGATCGAAATTGAATGTAGTACAGAATAGGTTAATTAATTGAAGAAAAAATACTGTAATTAGAACGTCGATTGATTTAGAAAATTTTCAAGGAGTCCAATTATTGCTAAACAGTAAGTTCGGCATTGAAAAATTCTCTGAGTAAAGATGTATCTGACCTGATTTTATACTTAGTACATGTGTTTATATATTTCGTTGGCGATGCCGAATGTGAATGCAGCCCTAAAGTATTAAATTTCCGAGCGAAAATAGTCAAAATCACGACACTGATTAAGGAAAATGAACGAGAGGCTCGTGCTGGTTTGAAGAATTAGTCCATAGAAACAAGCACAATTCTTGAAAAAAATTGTGAATTGAAAATTTCAGGGGTAAATTGACCCAATACCGTATCGCACGATGAGAATAACCACGCATGTTTTTTCAAGAGTTAAAAAAAATCTGATACACATAAATATTTTTTTAAATTCACGCTCTATCCCAAAAATTCTTTCGAGTCGATAGTCATTCGAATACTTTCCAAAAACCCATCGAGTGCATCAATGTGTTGTGCCATTTATCGATTCGGTCATAATTTGACAGGAAGCTGCGAGGCGGGATGAAGGCGTCAGAAACATCATGGCTGTCTGGACTCGTGTCCAGTCTGTTGGCCATATGCGTGGAAAGCCCAGAAAGGCAAAAAATGCTCGCATTCTACGTTCTCAACGTGGTAAGCATTTTTCCCTTATACATATGCATTTTTTAAAACATTATACAGTAAAATAAACATTCATTAATTTCAATGAGTCAGGGAACGATGAACTTTCAAGCGCGACGCTAAAATATTTCGGGAGTTCTGAGATTGATTCCGGGCGTGAAACTTTTAAATGCTTTAAAATCCCCATGAAAATAATTTTCAAAAGCTCAACACTAAACATTACACGCGATCAGCCATCCAATTACTATAATTAGCAGAGTATAGATGATGAACTAAACATTTTCTTTCAAGTAAAAATTCTCTCAAGTTTTTCAAGATATCTCGAAGATAAGTTCAAAAGTCCGTCAAATTCATGCAATTTCGTCCAGTTCCAATAAAAACTGCATACAGAAATATATGGCAATGCTAATTTTATTTTAATGTTTGAATCATCATACGAGTTGAAAATCATTCAACTCCGTGTAAAACAACTCTCTCTTATTTTACTCATTGCAAGTTTTTCCCGACGACACGAAAGATGTTGTCAATATTTTTTTATGTTAAATAAATCCTACGATACTTCTCACGCACACATGTAAACAAATTTCAATCAAGTTCTTTCGAAACTGCTGAATTTCCTCGTGAGGTCAGAGCCAAGGAAACACTGCTCTCAAACGAGTTCCCTGGTGCTTTCGGGAAAAATAAATCGGATTCAATGAAAAAAATCTCCTTCTAAAAAAAAAGAAGAGAAGTTTCTAAAGGTTCCATTGCATTAAAAGACAAAGAGGAAAAGCCCCGTTTGATTTCCGAGAACAGCGAATAGAGGCGTATATATTAAAAAAAGAAGAAAAACTTGAGAAAATATATACGGCGTGGAATCGTTTACGGGGGATTTAATTCGAAGGTTCAACGAGGACTTTTCTTTTTCATTGTCACGTGTTCAGCAGCACAAGGCCAGGAAATAAAATGTGAACAACAAGAAGTGTTGATACTCTACTCAATTTTTCTCACGAGAAAAACAAAACAAAAGGATTAATTCTAACTCGCAGTTGATCCGTCAACGAGAGCAGAAAATCCTGCCAGGGGTTCTACGGGTTCAAGAATCCAGAATTAATCCCCGGGTTCCCCGTGGTCGGAGTTCCATTCCGCATAGTTTCCGCTGTGCCAGCTTCCAATTAAATCAAACAATCTTAATAAATCATCATATATTAGGGAAAATAAAACGAACAGCTAATCCCCTTATATTAAATTCACGAAAACAAGGACACTTTCTGAAAAATCACTCCACCAACGCCTCGAATTCCGAGGTTCTCATTGCAAAAACAATAACTGCAAATTAATTTTCATCATCTCCTGCAGAAAATTCCGAAATGCACGTTACCTAATACGATTTTTTTATCAATACGAAGCACTAGACCTATTCTTTCAAGAAAAAATTCCACCACGCTTTTTGAAAAAAGGAATTTTTCAAAAGTCCGTCACATTCATACAATCACAACGAGATCTATTAACTATACACACAGAAATACTGTAAAGTGAAATGCTGATTTTTTTTGAATTTTTGATTAGATATATGTGTTGAAACCAATTCTATTCATAAAAATGAATGACAAAAACACCTTGAATACTGTATACGAAAAATCTTTCAAATGAAAGAACCGCGAGATTTGCAGTACGTTTAAATGATGAAATCTTTAGGAATAATATTCTCACCGCAAGAAGAATATTTTCATCTCAAGGTCGAGTGTAATTTTGCAGTTTTGATAGTCTAATCCACGACAAGCTAAAAAATAAATACGATGTTTGATGACAAAATACCCAATAAGGATGAAACAAATCTGAACCCATATTGAAATAAACGTAATCGTGCTCAAAGGATTGAGTGGCTTGCAACATACATAAGTTTAGTTGCAAACAGATCCCTTTTCTCTGTTTTCCGTTGACTTATATCTGAAAGAAACTCGTCCTCGGATTAAAAAAAAAAATGTTCTCATATATTTTATAGCGGCTACGATTTTCTGCGTGGATTAACAGGTTAAATAATAAATACATTGAGCTTCGAGC